TGTTCCCAGCCATGGCCGTTGGACTGCTACATAATGATCACACAGTATGATACTGCTGCTCAGTATCATACACACGTCCCCCTTCCGGCCACGCTTCCCTGTCTCCAACCTCTCCGATCGGTTCTGTTCCTGAGGCCCCGCCCTGGATTCAGGAAAAGCCTCCTCTCCCGGGGAAGGGTGGAAACAGCAGCGAGCACAGAGCAGTTCTTTGCATTTGCCCTGGCACAGGAACTCGACCTCCGCCTGCAAATCACGAGGAACATTTTATGTTATTTTTCTTCTCTGCCCCTCTTCTCACCCTCGGCCCATTCCCTGTGAGAGAACAGTCTTTCCATCTGGTCTTGTTGACCGTTTTGAGTGTAATTCTGGAGATTTACCTGACAGGAATAAATAAAAGACAAATTGTAGGTGCTTTGGTTGTCACAGCAGGGACCCCTATCATGGCATCAGCTTTCTCGTCCCCAAATGTGTGAGCTGCCTGGAAGACCGAGGTAATTGAAAGTGGTGCATATACCTCTGGTTTCTGAGATATTAACAGAAATTGCCTCCTACTGTGGTTGCTTTCTGGCTCAGTGTCCTCAAAGAGAAGCAGGTCATTCCATTCCTAGCTCAGGTACTGAATATACTGTAACTAGTTCATCAAGGAGGAAAATTCTCAGTGGACTGGTAGATATTGGATTGACTGCTCAGTTCTGCTAATCCTATACAAAGAATGGCCCAATCCTCCCTCCCCTCCCCTCCCCTCCCCTCCCCTCCCTTCTCTCTCTCTCTCTCCTTCATATTTCTCACCTCTTGCTTCTCGTTCTCTCTCCTACTTCAGAGAGAGAGAGGTATATACATCTAAACACACACTTCCTCTTGTATCCAAAGTATGTAATATCTTCATTCATTTGCAAGTTAATGATGACCACTTCCACTAGCTATGATACGTGTCTTACATATAATCCAAGTGGTGTGTGAGTTTGTGGGTATAAGACATTTTGGTGGGTAGAAAAAGAACATACAGAACAAATAATAAATTGCATTTTTTATTAATACACATACTTATCTTAGCCACAGGAAAGGTGATTGATGATTTATGTGCAGACACATAATAGCTGTTTCAGAGGATGTCGGGTAAACCAGCTGCCCAGCCCCTGCAGCTCTGAGTGGACATTTAACAACACAGTGGGGTCACAATTTCCACGTGAAGCTGAGCTTAGACACAACCTGCCCAGCAGAGAGGGGTCCCTCAGTCAAACTAGCTACCTAGTCTAGCTAGTCGCTGAGTAGAGTTCCAGGGGTCATCTGTCAGATATTCCTGCTCGCCACTCTGTACCCCCAGCACACCCACCTGAACCAAGAGCCTTCCCTGTTTCAGGAGGAATACCAGGGCCTTGAACTGGTGGGGCGGGGGGAGGTTCTGCTCAGAGCTGTTAGATGGGGCTCACTACATCTCAGGGCATTGGTAAGCAGCACTTCAGCTGGTCTGTGGTTAAGAAATGTGTGCTGTGTCCCAGGAGGGCACTGCCAACGCAGTTAGGGGATCTCCTCAAGCAGCTTCTCTGCCCCGGTGACTCGCAGGGTCTACCCTATTGAGTGAAGACCTGCAGGATACAGTTGGGCTCCCATGTACCTCTCTGAAGCTAGTGATGGTTAACTAGCCAGCCAACCCCTCCTCTGCCTCTGTCCCTCCCCACCCCCACCCCCAAGTTCCAGATGATTTTAATCTCAGCACTTTCTGCCTTCTCCTCCAAGGCTCTATCCCATCCTCACTCAAGTGACCCCTCACCTGGCCTGAGGCAGAAGGAAGGGCAGGCAGGGAAATGCTCACCCTCCCTCTATTCTTTTCGAGATCAATTTGCATGGCATAAGTCATCCCTCTGGCTCGCCTCAAAGCCCTCCCTTTAGTTATTTTTATTAAATTTTTTTAATGAAAGTATTACATATGCCCCCTCTTTTCCCCCCATTGACCCCTTCCACCCTGCTCCCACCCCCTCCTGCTTTCCCCAACCCAATGTCTGTGTCCATTGGTTGTGCATATGTGCATATAGATTCTTTGCTTTATCTCTTCCCACCCCACCCCCACCCCCACCCCCATCCCTCTCAGGCTTGCTAGTCTGTTCGTTTAAGGCCTATTTTGGAAGTCTCAAACATTTTTAAAGATTTAACGTTGAAAATTGCTCTCTCCATTACAGACCCACTGCAATGGACCTAATTCTCTTAGAGACCATTGTGTATGTCTCTGTCTAATTAGGGGAAAGGTCAAGCATAGGAATGCTCAGAAAAGGAAAAAAGGCATGAAATCATGTCTATTTCAAGACAGTGTCTCTCTGCACCTTCATTCAGGGTCCGCTCCTTCTCCAACAGCTGGTCATTAACCTCTCCTCCTTCGCTAACTCTGTGGCCGCAATCTGCCGGTTTCTCTTCTCCGGCCTCTTTCTCCTACAGCACTTGATAAGTGGACCATGTCCTCTGCATCGGTTTGGGAAGGAAGGGGGTGCATCAGCCGTAGACACCTCGCTTCAGATTAGCTTAAGACAGGAGAGAAAGTACTGGAAGGTACTGCTCTGTCTCCTCCCAAATAAATTAGGTTTCTACTCTGCTTTGAGACCTGCACCTGGGCCTGGTGTTTTCTAATCTATCCCCCTATCCAGGATAGAAATGAACCCCATAATAACCTCTTAGCAGATGCAGCTGGCTTTGATTAAATATTTCTGAATACTATTGTTTTCAATCAATGTAAATCTACCTCCTTGTAACTTCTACATATTATTTCTGAATTGTCTCTCAAGGGACAACTGGGTATATAAAGCTGGACCTGGGTGAAGGTCCTAAGTACAGCCATTGTGGAAAACAGTTTGGAGGTTCCTCAAAAAGTCATCAGTAAAACTACTATGTGATCCAGCCATCCCCCACCTGTGGGCATCTATCCAAGGGAATTGAAATCAGGGTCTTGAAGAGGCGTCTGCTCTCCCATGCCCATTGCCGCGTCATTCACAGTAGCTGGGATAGGAAAACAGTCTTGGCGTCCGATGGATAAGTGGGTAAAGAAAATGTGGAACAGATGTACCCGGGATGCTCTGCAGCCTTAATGAAAAGAAGGAAGCCCTGGCCGGTATGGCTCATTGGTTGGGCATCTTCCTGTGCACCAGGAGGTTACTGTGCTGATTCCCAGTCAAGGGCACATACCCAGGTTTCAGGATCAATCTCCAGGAGGGCGTGCAGCACGTAGCCAATCAGTGTTTCACTCTCACATCGATGTGCTCTCTCTCTCTCTCTCTCAAAATCAATAAACTAGTTTTAAAAAGAAGAAGAAGGAGGAAACCCTGCCATTTGTGACAATATGGATGGACTGGGAGGACTTTATGATGAGTGAAATAAGCCAGAAAGAACTACCGTGTGGTCTCTCTGACGTGTGGAATCTAAAGCAGTCAAGCTCATAGCAGCAGAGGTGAGAATGGTGTTGCCGGGGGCTAAGGCGAGGAACGAATGGGGGTGATGGTCAAGGGCACCGAGGTCAGTTACACGAGATGAGGTGCTCCCGAGACCCGAGGACAGCACAGTGCTCCAGCGAGTGGCACTGCAACGGGGCCAGCACCCTTCCGAGAAGAAAGACTCACGTTGTAGTCTTACAATGATGATAATGGGAGTGGGAGGAGACTTGGGAAGTGATGGGTGTATTTATGGCCTTGATGACAATATACTTGTCCCCAAACTCCTCAAGTTGTATCATGCATTACATATGTGCAGCTTTTTTTTTCTTTATTGATTTTAGAGAGAGACGGAGAAAGAGATAGAAACATCGATGAGAGAGAACATCAATTGGCCTCCTCCTGCATGCCCCCCACTGGGGATTTGGCCCACAGCCTGGGCATGTGCCCTGACCAGGAATCAAACTGGCGACCTCTTGGTGCATGGGTCAACGCTCAACCACCGAGCCACACCGGCCAGGCGAAAAGTATCTTTAAAAAGAACATATTAACCATTCTTCATGGGAAGATTCTTTAAAAGTAAACATAATACAGATCAAAAAGTTCCAAAGGATAGTATCTTTAATGAGTATTTTAACCATGGTCATTTTAAGTAAAGTTTTATTGAAATGTATTTATCAGTATCAGAAAAACAGAGATAGGATTTATATATAAAAGCATATTTTAAATTCTATGGGTGCCCACCCCTTTCATCTCCCACAGCTGTTTTCTTTTTGTTTGGTTTTGAGGAAGAATGACTACGGAATAAACTGGATGCCAATGCTTCCGATGTATCTGCCTGTAGAGCCCCCTGAACACTCCTGGCGTGTGTCCTCCTTGGGGAAACTTCTCTCTAACACGCAATCACGCCATAGCTCGGGCATGGACTGATGCTGTCCACCAAAGAAAAGGGGCACGGGGCCAAATTGCGGGTCTTGTGTTTGACACATGCTTTAAAAAGCCCCCAAACGTATGTGTCCTCAGACAAAAAGGCAGAAGGTGCCCATGACTAGGGCATGATGGATTCAGCTGACAGTTCGATGTTTCGCTGTCCTGACAAGATGAGGGACCCTACGTGACATGCTTGAGCCAACAGGGTGAAGCACGGGTGTGCTTCTTGGGATGGACTCATTGCATCTGACTTTTTCCACTCGGGGTCCCCTTTGTATTCCGTGTCACCGGGGGAGGCCCACCTAATCAATTTGCAGAGTGTGTTTTGGCCCCTGGGCAGGACCAATTAGACTTGAAAGAATCCGATGAAAAAGTCCAGGTCCCGAGAAGTTAGCAACTTTTCCAAGACACACAGTTCACATGCAGAGGTTTGTGAATATTCCTCATCCTGACTGATGTTTTGACAAAGAAGGAAAAGAGTATGATTCGGGTTTGGCTCAGGCAGGTGGCTGAGAGCCGAGGGGAGAAGGGGCCCTGGAGGGAAGGAGAAGGGATGTGCCTCCCCCAGGAGGTCGTCTGAAGTGCTCGGCGATGCTGATGCCTCCACTCAGCCACAGCGATGGCTGCATCCCCAGCAAGCCGATGGCCACCAGGAGCCTACGGGGTGCCCCCCTCGCAGGGCATGATGCTGGTGACAGAGACGCTCTGCCCTTGACACCTCAGGACGCCAGCCTCACACTCCGTCATCGTCTGCTCCTGGCCGTTGACGTCCACGCAGATGCGGATCCCCCCCCCCTCGCACTCCGCCGCTCCTCTGCAGACGCACGCGCTGCTCTGGGCTGGAAGAGGAAGCGAGACGGGCTTACTGGCGCATCGGGCAGTGGGCAAGTCCAGGCACACGGCCCCTAGAGTCACAACGAGGTGGTTAGTGACCCACAGACGCTCCTGCCTCCAGTGGAGGACCCACTGCCCCCAGCAAGGCCGCAGGACCAGGAAGCCAGGCATTCTGCTCCACTCAGAATAACAGGTTCGGAAACAGGCACCAGGTTTGCTATTATCGTTTGGACCACATGGGGCGGTTCTCCCAAGTCAAGAGCTTTCCAGCTCTCTCCTAATCCAGGCTGATGTCCGGGTGAGTCAGAACCTGGGGGGACCCTTCAACCTCGGGACCACATTAGGAAAGCTGGGTGGCGTGGGCCAAGCAGAGGCGAAGAACACAAGGACTGGACTTGCTTTCAGATTGAGGACGCGAAGCACACAAGGCCGCGTATCCCCCAACGCAAACCAAAAATACGCTCGCTGTGCAGGAGAGCACCGTGTGCTCTGAAGTTTCCCGGCTGGAGTACACCAGCCAGGTGTCTCCGGAAGGAGAGTAATAAGGTCAGACAGCCAACTGTGCCGACTGCCAAACCCAGACGCAGCTGGAGTTCCGAGTGTCGTAGTCTGCGCTGCGTACCGGATGGGAGTGAGGGGGAGGGTGCCCAGTGGTCACAGGCCAGGAGCCGGAGGGCCTGGAGAGCTGGCAGAGACCGTACCGATCCCACAGTTCAGCTGCCACATCTACAGGTGGGGAAACTGAGAGCAGGGACCCAGCCCTCCCCGCCTGGTGCACAGCTGAACCCGGGGGAGGCGGGCCATGCCAGGGCTGGTCGTCAAGGTCACTGTAAGTGACACTTGGACATAACACTCAAAATATGGAATCACAACCCCGCGAGTCCTTCTGGGAGAAGGTGTCAGCTTACACTGTAGGTTTTAACACCCCTCTAACACTAAGCTCCCTTTATCGCAAAGAAACGGCCCCCTCAAGCTCCTAGCAGAACCTACACCCTCATTTTGTTTCATTACACGTATTTTGATAGTCGCCAAATATGTATGACATGTGAGACTTCCTTTAAGAAAGTGACATAAAGTTTCTTTTTTGAATACAGTTATTTTGACGAGTCTATTTTCTTATGAAATTGAGATTTTTACTGACATGCAGAAGTGTTTTAGAGTTATGTTTCTACAGAAAGGTTCTATAAACGACAGAAAACTTCTAGCATGAAGTCACAAGGAGTTAAAAATAGTACATCATGGTCAACACAGCTATGCCCCCCGCGGCGCCACGACAGAGCAGTGGGCAGCTGACTAGCGGAGGGGCCATGCTTAGGGAAGGGCCTTCCCAGCTGACAGGGAGCCCAGAGCAGCACCCAGGCGGTCTGCGGGGCAAGCCTGTGCCATGGAGGCAGCTCTACCAGTCAACAGTTCTGTGTCCCCAGCCCCGCCTCCCCCTGAGCCTCCCTCGCCCACCGCACCACACTGCCCACTGTCGTCACGGAAACCCTCGCACGCGGACTGGACTGAAGGCAGGCTGTCCCCGCGCAGAACTCATGGACACCCACACTCTGTGGCTCCTGTACGGATTCAGCTGGCCTGTGGCCAGCAATGACCTCACGGCTAGGGTCCTGCATGCATGTCTCCTGCGCTGCGGCCCTCCTAGCGACCTCCAGAAGGGACTGGAGACTCACCAGACAGGTGGGGATAGGAAGGCATATTTTCTTTCGGAAATGGCCCCACAACAGAAGTGACCAGGGACCTGAAAGGCCATGAGATGTTTGAAGACACCTGGACTCCACTCGTCTGAGGAGAGAACAGCGGCTTTGCCAGCTGCTTGCCCGATGCAGCCCAGCTGGTCTGGGTTTCCCTGAGATGCCAGTGCCATCACGAGCCACCAGACGGGGTACTGCGGCGCTTGTGCCTGAGCAGGCCCGGAGCTGGGGAAAGCCCGCTGAGGGTTCATTCATGGACGGGCCTGTGTGAGCTCCAAGGGGGATGTCAGCACTGGAGGTGCTGGCCCAGCCTCGGTCCCTGGAGGTACTACACTGGACACCGCATCCAGAGCTTACAGAAGCCTGTACCGGGGATCCCACCAGCGGACCAGAGTCTTGCTCCAAGCAGAGAGGGAACTGGCCAAATTCAGGTCAGCACACGGCACCTGACCCGGACATGGCCGGGGTGGGGAGGCCCCTGCCGCCCAGCAGCGGGGGGGGGGGGGCGCTCAGCAGAACTGCAGCGGTCCAGGGGGAAGTCTCCAGCTCAAGTCGTTCCGGGCTGAGCCCTCGCCACAGGCTGGTTAGTGTGGGGTACAGCATCCCTAGTTACCGCTCTACACAGCTGTCCAGCTGCACCGAGGCAGGAGGGGGGAGGACCACTCTGGTCTAGCTTGTCTCTCTCTCTCGGAAAAGCCCCCAAGTACATGACATGGATAGTACAGGGGCAGAGCAAAAATCGCGAAGGTAGACTGGGCCTCCCCCAGGTCTGGGGGGACATTCAGACCGTGGGCGACGGTTCTTGGCCTCCAGGTACTTGACCAGCCTGCTTCCCAGGGACCTCAGTGGGGGTGGCGGTCCGCTGAGCGGGGAAACTACATTTTTTAAAGCCTCGGCGCTATCGCTTTAGCTTTAGCGCTGCCACAGGTACAGATAAGAAACCCCCTGCGGTTCTCACTTGGGCAGCACGTCCGGGAACCGCCCGCTTGCACAGAACAGAAAAGGACAGGCGCTCACCATCGCACTTCTCCCAGGGCGGACACGCGCCGCAGGCCCTGGCGGCGGGGGCGGGCTGCGCACAGGCCTCCGCGCGGGCCACGGCGAAGCTCCGGCCGCGGCAGCGCAGCGCGTGCACCTTGCAGACGGTCAGGGCCAGCGCCTTCTGGGTCCTCTCGTCCTGAGCGCACACCTCCAGGGACGGCCTGCAACGATTTTTTATTTAGTTTTAGTTTCTTAAATGTTTTTATTGGTTTTTAGAGAGGAAGGGAGAGAAAGAAACATTGATCGGCCGCCTCCTGCACGCCCCCCACCCCGCCCCACTGGGGATCAGGCCCACAACCCAGGCATGTGCCCTGACTGGGAATGGAACCAGTGACCTCCTGGTGCCTGGGACAACGCGCAATCCACTGACTCACACCGGCCAGGCTGAAACGGATTTTTTTTTTTTAATTAATTTTTGTTACAGATGTTTCTCCTTTTCCCCCACTGATTCCCCTCCTCCCCCTCCCTCCCCGCCCTGTCCCCAGCTTTGTTGTCCATGTCCTTTGTTCATGCACACATGCATGTAAGTTCTGTGGTTTATCTTCCCCCACCACCCCCTCTTCTGGAGATTGTCAGTCTGTACCCCACTTCCACGTCTCTGGGACTACCCCATTCCTCAGATTGTTATGTTCATTATATTCCACAAATAAGTGAGATCATGTGATACTTGTCTTTCTCTGTTTGGCTTGTTTCACTTAGGATGACACTTTCCAGGGCCCTCCATGTCTTCTCAAAGGTTGAGATCTTTCTTTCTTACAGCTGCATAGTACTCCATTGTGTATATGTACCACTGCTTTCTTTTTTGTTTGTTTGTTTTGTTTTGTTTTTAATTTTTTATTTATTTTTTTGTTACAGATATTTTACCTTTTTTACCCCATTGGCACCCCCCTCCCCACCCCACCCCCACCCCATCCCCAGCTTAGTTGTCCATGTCCATTGGTCATGCATACATGCATATAAGTTCTGTGGTTTATCTCTTCCCACCCCCCACTCCTTCTTCTGAGGGATGTCAGTCTGTGCCCTCCTTCCATGTTTCTGGGTCTACTGTATTCCTCAGACTGTTATGTTCATTATATTCCATATATAAGTGAGATCATGTGGTATTTGTCTTTTTCTGCTTGGCTTATTTCACTTAGGATAATACTGTCCAGGTCCCTCCATGTCGTCTCAAAGGATAAGAGATCTTTCTTTCTCACCGCTGCATAGTACTCCATTGTGTATATGTACCACAGCTTTCTTATCCACTCATCTACTGATGGACATTTGGGCTGTGAAATGGATTTTTTAAAGTCATATTATTTACCAGATTTTCCTTCTTAAAAGCTGAGGATGAGAAGTGGCAGGTGAGCGTCTGAGCTCAGGGGTTCAGGCATCATCACCCAGAGCGAAAAGATGGAACAGAAACTCACGTCCCCTTCGTCTCGAGGACCCAACCCCCCCAGCTCTTCTCAATAAACATACTTGGCGCTTTATTTGCTCACAACTTCTGGAAGCCTAGACATCAGTGTCGACCTGGTCTCATCTAGCATGGACCAGGCACAGTCAATTAGAAGAGAAGGCAAGAAATGCTGGGTCAGCCACTGGACTGAGCCAGGAAGGAGGCAGAAAGTACGCAAAGACCTGACACCCAGAGGCTCTGGCGGGATGGGACCACTGACCGCAGGACACATGGCTCTCCCAGCCCAGCGCCCTGAGAGGTCACGGTCACAGCACAGCACGGTCCAGCCCCCGCTGACTGGATCCTCAAGGGGAGACAAAACTTTGTTTCAATGCTACTTTTTAGTGTCTATGTTTACTAAATACTTCAGAAATATCTCCATTAAAAAATTGTTACTTTTGCCCGGCTAATGTGGCTGAGTGGATTGAGCTCAGTCCCACGCACTGAGAAGTCCCAGTTCGATTCCGGGTCAGGGCACATGCCCAGGTTGCAGGCTCCATCCCCAGTAGGGGGCGTGCAGGAGGCAGCTGATTGATGTTTCTCTCTCACATTGATATTTCTCTTTCTCTCCCTTCCTCCCTCTCTCTAAAAAATCAATAAAAATATATAAAAATTGTTACTTTTTTTCTTAAGCATTGGTGTCAAAACGATGAGACCCAGCTTTGGAGAAACGGCGCTCATACAAACCACCACATTTCTGAATTGATTGCGAAGGAAGGCCTTACTGTGGTGAGACCTTGGCAGCAGAGCATGTTTGTATAGCAGACGACATCTATCTTCACTTACCTACCTGTAACGCGAATATTTTCTTCTCTGACCAAGAGCTACATTTACTTGGAGCTGTTTACACAACAAAAGCAAATCCTTGTATCTCGCTTTTATCTGCTTCTTTAAACTTTAAATAGAACTACTCAGAACAGCTTAAAAGGCGGAGACTTCACAAGGCCACCTTGTCAGTATCTGATATGCAATCTCACACGCACCACATCTGTAAACAGTAGGCTGCAGATAAACTAAATGAATCGGAGACGTTGGGAAAATGATGAAAGTGAGTCAAAGTAAATGATGGTTCAAGGAAATAGCAGCACAGTCATACTATCCGGGCTGAACACCACCGCATTCTCCTCCCCGTGAGGTACCGCAGGGTCAGCACTGCCCACCGCAGGTGTTCACGGCCTTGGTGTGCACTTCGATGACAATAACCATTGAAAGCCACGTAACGAGCCAGTAAACGTGCGTTTAAGGCGGGGGCCTGGCTCTCCCCCGCTTGCCTCTCCAGAGTCCTTCTCCCTCTTCTCCCCGCTGCCTGGAGGGCTGCTACCTGTGACACATCAGGAGACCTTCTGTCCTCTTGCTGTGGGGCGTTTAGTCAATGGGGGCAAAAGTAAGAGGCAGAAAGGGGAAGAGAGTGCAGATCCCCTGGCTCCCTCCTGGGGGACCTCTGAGGTCCGGCTTCAGCGGCCATGTCCACACCTCCGCTGCCTCCAGGTCCTCTTGCTCTTCGGACACGGGCACGGACATATTCCCGAGCTCGGGCCATCCAGGGCACTGCCCTGTGGTTTGCAGTGTCCCTCACTGTCCCACGCTTCAGCTAACAGCCCCACTTGTCAGCATCCTCTGTCCTAATTAACCATGCCATCTGTGCCCAATGAGGACCATGACACAGACATCCAGAAACTCCTTCAGGTCTGCTGCAATGGACTGCTTTCCTGTTGGATGGCATCTCATAAAGCAGTCGAGAGACAGACATGTCAAGGACCCAAACACCGGCTGATTTTTTCACTATGGGCATTGCTTGAAGAGTTTCTGTCTCAGGAGGATTTCAGTTCTAATCCTCTCAAACTCTAAATCCCTAAGTGACAGCTTTGTCATTTTGCACCATTTTATAAAGAGAACAAGTAGTCGTTGGCCTCTGTCCCGCCAGGTTAGAACACTGCTAGAGCCACCAGCTGTCAGGTCAGCCCAGGTGACCCAGGCAGACAACAGGCGTCAGAGGGAACAGAGTAAAAGGCAAAGATCCTTAACCCTTAGTAAGCAGCACCTTCAATCTAACCGAGACTAGCATGTGAGAAATAATTTTCTTTATCTTGAGTAAAATAAAACGGAGAAGTGAGCAAAGATGGGGCTTACCGACATTCGTAGGGCAATTTACAAACACATCTTGAATCCTTCACTTTCTCCCAGGGCTGACAGACAGGCGCAGCCTGTGTCAAGGGGGCATCTAAAAAGCAAATGATATGGGAGACGCAGTCATTGGGAGAAGAGCTTCTTTGTAGTAAACAACGAATCATCTTCATTGGTGAACCTGGCTCTTTAATATTCTTAACAAGTTGGTGCAGTAAAATGATAAAGCTGTAAAGCATTTTACAAGAGATAGAGTGTTTTTTGGAGCAGCCTACAAATGATGTCATTGGTCATGGTAGCTACCATTTCTTGAGCATGTACTATTAGCTATGCACTTCTTATACATTGCGGTATCTAGCCCTCCTTAACAAATGCCCATTTAAGAGATGGGAAAAGCAAGGGTCAGAAAAGTTATGGAGCTGGTGCTAGTTCACACATTTAATGAATTGGCCAAGCCAGGACTCAAGTCCACAGCTGTCTGGATCCAAGGCCAGACGAGTGGGCTCCCTTTCATGGAGAAGTTGGTGTTTAGTGGTCACTTGGCAGCATATATACCAAAATCGGAACAATATGAGGAAGATTAGCATGGGCCCCGCACAAAGATGACAACAAATTCGTCATAGACACAGACAACAGCATGGTGGCTACCAGAGGGGAAAGGAGGGGGGAGGAGAAAGAGGGTACAGGGGTCAAATACAAGCTGACAGAGGAGACTAGTCTTCAGGTAGTGAGCACACAGTAGACCGTGCAGATGTTTTGTGATAAAGTTGAATGCCTTAAATTTACATAATATTACTAACCAATGTTAGCCCAATAAATTTAATCTTTTTAGAAAAAGGAGTTGGTGTTTATGGTGTGGACTGCCTTTTGTTCACTGTACCTACAATGGGACGGAAAACAGAAACATGACCTATACATGGAGAACTCCCATGAGTCCCCAGGAGATCTGTAGTGACTTCTCATGGGTAATATCCAAGTGGTCTCCCTTCAGCAGTAACATTAATAAAATCCTCTCCATTGCTTTGTGTTTTCTATAAACTGATCGAAAGTTAACCATCATTCGAACGTTGACAGGAAAACGCCTTGGTCCAGGTCATAAGAGCATGATTTGACTGCCATTGCCCTGGCCGTACCTGACTACAATGTGAATGATCGACAACACTCTATTTCCACCTCCCGCTCCATTCTTCACAATGGAATCCAGTGCATCGTGAAGCTGGCACCTGCTGAATAGATCTATAAAGCAGTGAAGGAGGGCTGATGCCCTGGCTCATTTGGTTGGAGTGCTGTCCCGTACAGCAAAAGGTTGCAGGTTTGATTCCGGGTCTGGGCATGTACCTAGGTTTTGGGTTTGATCCCTGGTCAAGGCGCATACAGGTAACAACAGATTGTTTCTCTCTCACATCCGTCTCTCTCTTTCTCTCTCTCACTCTCTCTCTCTTTCTCTCTCTCTCTCTCTCTCTCATATATATATATATATATATATATATATATATATATATCCAAAAATCAATAAAAACATGTCCTCATGAGAGGATTAAAAAAATCAAAATTAGCCCTAGTCAGTTTGGCTCAGAGATTAGAGCATCGGCTCATGGACCAAAGGGTTATGGGTTTGATTCCCAGTCAAGGGCACGTACCTGGGTTGCAGGTTCGATCCCTGGCCCTGGTCAGGGTCGTGCAAGAGGCAATCAATCAATGCGTCTCTCTTTCACATCAGTATTTATCTCTCTCACCCTCCCTCCAATCCACTCTATCTAAAAATAAATGGGGAAATATACTCAGGTAAGATTAACCAAAAAATTAAATAAAAATTAAAAATAAATTTAGGAAAAAGAAGGGCTAGAGAGCATGTTTTTATGGAAGCACAAACTATAAAATTTTTTCTTACTTTGGAAAACTTAAGAGTTTTAGACACAACAAGAAAATCTCATGAACAAATTAGAATCTTGTGAAAATAGCAGCAATGTGAGTGCACCTGCCATGTCCTGCAACATCTGCAACAAGTGCTCCTTCTCTAACCCTTCCTTTAAAGTGGTATTACCCTAAATGCAATGTAGTACTGTAGTGTGTCCTAGCCCGTCAAAAGGACATTAGCAGAAAAACTGATAATATATGAACAACATCTGTAGTTTAGTCAATAGTATTGTAATAATATTACTGTGTTAGTTTTGACCAACTAAATTATGTCAAGTTATGTGAAATGTTAATATTATGGAAAGGTGGGTAAAGGATATGTAAGAACTATATTTGTAACTATTCTAAAATCTAAATTCTTCCCAAACATACACACACACACACACACACACACACGTGTGTGTGTGTGTGTATATATATATATATTTTTTTTTTTTTTCCCACCCAAGGACATTTTTCCATTGATTTTCAGTGGGAGGGAGGGAGAGAGAGAAAGAGAGAGAGAGAGAGAGAGAGAGAGAAATATTGATGTGAGACACACCAATTTGTTGCCTCCCAGTGACCCAAACCAGGGCTGGGGATTGAACCACAACCAAGGTACGTGCCCTTGACCAGAATTGAACCTGCAACCCTTTGGTCCATGGTCTGAAGCTCTAACCGCTGAGCCAAATCGGCCAGAACAGCACATATATATACTTTTAATAGTATTATCTGGATCAGTGCTTCTCAACCAAGGGCAATGTTGCCCTCTAGGGACATTTGACAGTGTCTAGAGTCATTTTTGGTTGTCACACTGGGGGTGCTACTGACATCTAGTGGGTGGATATCAGGATGCTGCTAAATATCTTACAGTGTATAGGACAGGCTTCTACAACAAAGAATTGTCAGGCCCAAAATTCCAATAGCGTTGGGGTGGAGAAAATATAATCTAAATGTACCAAAACAAAAGTTCAACGCTAAAGCTGTGCAAATTATTTCTGCATTATGATAAGAACTTAATTTGCTAATTGTTCATAGAGATAAAATTTTAGATTTCAAACATTTTCTAAAAGGTATTATAATTTCTTTGTGAAAATTGCTTATAGACTTACCTGGGCCAAAGACTTTTGCATTTGTTTTCTTCGTAGCTCCATTAACCAAATAAGATGCTCTGAGGGCCCTCGTAGGGTGTGTATCTTTACTATTTTAAAACCACATTATCTTCACATCAAGACTGAACACTGGTTGGGTGGGGAGTGAGGGTTTAGTGTTTAATAGGTTCCATTTGGGAGGATGAAAAAGTTCTGGAGATGGATGGTGGGAATGTATTTAATGGGAATGTATTTAATGCCACTGAACTGTACAAATGGTTAAAATAATACATTTTATGTTATGTATGGTTTACCACAATAAAAAAAAAAAAAGACTAATAGACACAGCTGGTATTTTAAAACATTGACTTTGGAGGCTGACAAAGCTGGAATTCTTTGTTTATTATAGGCTTATATTAAGGGTAGTTATTATTGTTATCCGCATCTTCTGAAAACATGCAGGTCTGAAAAACATCCTTAATTAAAACTGTAATAGAATTTGCTGCTGAGTGGGAGAAATTTTATACCAAATTGTGCTATAAAATGGGCGAAGCAGACATTTTAGAAAGACAAGTATATAATCCCCTTTGGAATTAAAGAATAACCAATGACTGCACATTGTTCTCTTTAATTTTAGAATTACTGGCACAGGTCCATTGTTTCAAATATCTCAAATAAATTTATGCTTCAGTGCATGTAGGAAAAAACAACTGTCTCTAATACAGGCCTTTGAGACAGCTAAAGACACATGGCAGCTGGCGCGGTGGGCATTCCACTGGACAGGCTGCCCTCCTCCTCTGGCATCTACCATCTAATATATGGCTGCATCAGTGACAGGGTGCTCCATGCAGCCTTCTCCTTGTAGTTGTGACCACCTAATTCACCTAATAGTACCACTCATGAAATCTAGATAGTATCATTTCATTCTCACTAGAAAAGACAAATTTCAGCACTGAATCAAAATCATACACTAGGGAAATAAGAATACCATAGAAAGTGGAATGCAAAAGAGTTTTTCTTCTTTCCTATTTTTAATTATTCCAAGCATATATTTCCTTCTCTACTTTAAAAAATGAAAACAAAGAAGAAATAAGAGGTTATTTTTTAAATGAATTCATCTTAAGTATCTCTAAAAAAGAAATTGTTTGGCCTTCCCAATCTCTTCCTACCTTAAGTTCTTAAAAAAACATTTTAATTTGCCTAATGTTCAAAATACTAGGTTTTTGGATTTACGCTATTAAGAACAACTTTGCAAACCACAACACTTTTTCTTCACTAACTTCTGCTTTGAAGTATTCAATGTAAATGCTTGTAAATTTCCTATTTTGATAATACTAATAAATTCTCTGAAAGCCTATAAAAATATACAAACTTTTATATAAATTATTATCTTAACTTAGTACTTAATAAAAGTAAATTTAAAAATCAGGAGGAGCCCAGCCAATGTGGCTCAGTGGTTGAGTGTCAACACATGCCCAAGTTGTGAGCCTGATCCCCAGTGGGGGGCATGCAGGAGGCAGCCAATCGATGTTCTCTCTCATCAATGTTTCTGTCTCTCTCTCTCTCCCTTCCTCTCTCTCTGAAATCCATAAAAGAAAAAAAATTAAAAATCAGGAGGAAACCAGAAATTAGCTTTTAGAAATCCTTTTTCTTGGCACCGTAAGCTATACAAAGCTAATCTTTGATATAAAGGATTGCAGTTCAAATGTAAACATCACCAGGGCTAGTCTTGCCTTTCTTCGCATTCCGTGAGTCTACCTGTGCCATGTAAAACAGTCTGTGATCTGGGCTATGAACTGACCTCCTCCTCACGAGGGAGGCAGAGATGAAGGCAAGGACTCCACAGTCGCGGTGCTCCGGGGCCGGAAGGCCACCACGAGGACTGCGCCTGCCTGAGTGACGGCGCCCGGGGACTGCTCACCTTTACGCACACAGCGGGCACTCCTTATCTCGGGGCTCCACTTCAGGCTGGATCCACACAGAAATGTTGAAGGACCTTCTAAGGACATGCCACTTGAACAGGATAAGGTCACCTTCTCGCCAATTGTGTAGGAAGGCTTCTGGGGATGACTCTGTATGCCATCCATCAGTGTAGGCAGAACACAGGCAATTTCTAAAGATTCAAAAAGAGAGAGAGCAGAATACAAGGGTCATTGCTTTCTTAAGCCATCTGTCTAAAAACATGACCACCTTGAATGGTGCTGATATACTTGCTCTGCTTTTTCACATTAGAAGACAAGAAAGAAGAGTTGAGTTCATACTGAGGGTGCTCAGAAAGACATGCCCCACTGTGCCCCACATGTCATTGACCGATGAATGACAGAAGACCAAAACAGTTCTCACCCTTCACATTACCCTCAAAGCAATGTGACCACTTAGAATAAACAAGCCTTATAAACACAGTCCTAAGTCCAGACTTTTCACAGCTACCACTTCTATCCCTGGTCTGCTAGAACTTTCCCAAGAACTGTGTTTATTTATATATCATTAACATGTATCCAATTGGATATTTCACTATCTGAAATTTTTAAAGAACTGCCTTTAACCTTGCAACCATAAAAATGTTAATGTTATTTGGTTTCTCATCTCTATTCTTTTTTGCTTGATATATTTATTAGTTCAAACTTTCTACTTGAAAAAAAAAAAAAGCAAACAGAATAATGAGAAGCATGTATAGTTATGGAAAGCAAGCCAAAATTCACAATTTTTTGTTGTTGTTGTTGTTGTTAATCCTCTCCTGAGGATATTTTTTCCATTGATTTTTAGAGGGAGCTGAAAGGAGGGAGTTAGGGAGGGAGGGAGAGAAAGAAACATCAACATGAGAGAGACACATCAATTGGTTGCCTCCCACATGCACCTTGACCAGAGCCAGGGATCAAACCTGCAACCTAGGTGCATGCTCTTGAGTGGAAATCGAACCCACAACTCTTCGGTGCATGGGCCAATGCTCTAAGCAGTGCACCACACCAGCCAGGACAGAATTCACAATTTTTTTAAAAATCTTGGCAATCTCTCTAATGGATCTTGGACAATAATCTACAAAATACTGTTCTATTGCTGCACCATTTTCATCAGAAAATCCATTTATTCATTCATTCAAAACAGCACCTATTGAGAGCCTCTATTTTGCCAAGTGTGTTGTGTGCTGCTGAGGATACAAAATATGAGTCGAGTTTTGAAGGTCCAAGGTTCCAGAGAGAACGGAAGTCTAAATGGTGATGACGACATTTGGTAATGCCTTTCTCCTTGAGGTGTGTGTAAGGCTGAAGGGGAAATGCTGCAGGGCTGCCGAGCGAAGGAGAAAGCTGCAGCCCAGGGCTGAAAAGCCAAGCCGAGTAGCGGGCAGGGTCACTGGGCTGAGAGACAAAAGCATTAGAGTCCAGTCCTGTTGAAAAGAAGGGACCCAACTAGAAATTCCACATCACAGTTTCCAATGGGGTCCATTTATTAACGGCCACACACTAGCAATGGAGGTAAAACAGGCATGGACCAGACTCACTGCCTGCCAGAAACAAAGCTGAATTTTCTCTTGAGGAACATAACATCATCCAGAGCCTCAAATTATTTCTTTAATTTTCACACATGAAGTCTGGGATTCAATCAAAACTAATTTAATTTAAAAAGATAAGAATTCGCCCTGGCCGGTTTGGTTCAGCGGTTAGAGCGTCGGCCTGCGGTCCTGAGAGACCCGGGTTCGGTTCCCGCTAAGGGCACGTACCTCGGTTGCAGTTTGTCCCCGGCCCTGGTTGGTCGTGCGGGTGGCAGCCACTTGATGTGTCCCTTCACGTCGATGTTTCTCTCTCTCTCTCCCTTCCTCTCTCTCCCGCCCACTCTACCTGAACAAAAAATGGAGAAATGTCCTCGGGTGAGGATAAAAAATAAAAAATAAAAAAATAAAATAAAAAGATAAGAATTCCACCCTGGCTGGTTTGGTTCAGCAGTTAGAGCACCGGCCTGTGAACCAGTGAGTTTCGGGTTCAATCCAGCCAAGGGCACATACCTCGATTTCGGTTCATCCCCCACCCTGGTTAGGGTCGTGTGGGAGGCAACCAATTGATGTGTCTCTCTCACACTGGTGTTTCTCTCTCTCTCTCTCTCTCTCTCTCTCTCTCTCTCTCTCTCTCCCTTTCTCTCTCCCTCCCTCCCACTCTTTCTAAAGATAAATAGAAAAATATCCTCAGGTGAGGATTAAAATTAAATTATAATATTAATAATAATAACAATAACAATAAACAGATAAGATCCCCAGCTTGCTCTCCTTCCTGGGACCATACCTGCACCTTCGCCCCTCCCCTCTTCTTCCTCCCAGGCTTGTGCCCTTTACCTTCCTCTCTCGTAAGCTCCAATGGCCCTTCCTTTGCCTCTGTAAGATGTTTCCTGATTCCACACCCAGCTGACTCACTTTTCCTACCTCTGTAACTTTCTAAATAAACTTTCTCAAATAAATAAATAAATACATCAGAATTTATCAAAATAAAAAACAAAAGAGACTATAGAAGCAGACCCACAGCAAATCCAAATAAGGGGATTAATAGACTTAGGTCTTGAAAGAACTGATTAACATGTTGGGGGCAAAAATACATGACAAGGTGGGGAATTTCAACAGAGAATTTGAAAGTATAGAAAAGCAGACAAATGGAATATGTAGAATTGGAAAATAAAACTAAGAACTCAAGAGACCTCTTAAAAGTACATTATATACAACTGTACAGAGAATTAACAAACTTTAAGATAGGTCAGTAGAAAATATTTAGAATGATATAGAGAGGGAAAATGATATAAAACAAAGAAAATAATGGGCATAATATATATAATCTAAAATTGTATCATTTGTGTCTCATGAGGAGAAATGAGCAAGAATGGGACAGAGGTACTTGGTCAAGAGTTTTCTAAAATTGACAAAGAACATTAAAGCACAGGTTTAAGAACTGCTCTGAGCATCAACAAGCATAGAGACAACGAAAATCACACCAAAGTACATCGGAGTAGAGTTGCTTCTGAAAAACAAAGACAAAAAAACATTTTTTTAAGCAGCCAGACAGAAAAGAGAGAAATGATAGTTTAAGAACTGACTTCTCACTAGAAAACAATAATGGTAGAGGCAATGTAATGACATTTTTAAAGGGTTTAAAGAAAATAAATGCTAACTTATCATTTCTTAGCCAATAAAAATATCCTTCAAACATGAAGATAAAATGAAGACATTTAAGATGAATAAAGAGTGGGACAGTTTTTCACTGGGAGATTCATAATAAAGGAAAAGAAGCGCCCAGCCAGTGTGGCTCAGTGTTTGAGCTCAACCCATTCACCAAGAAGTCGCTGGTTCGATTCCCGGTCAGGACACATGCCCAGGCTGTGGGCCCAATCCCCAGCAGGGGACACGCAGGAGGCAGCCAATCAATGTTCTGTCTCATCGATGTTCCTCTCTCTCTCTCCCTCTCACTTCCTCTCTCTCTAAAATCAATAAAGGAAAAAATATTTTTTAAAAAAGGAAAAGAAGTTCTTCAAGCAAAAGTATCTGATTAATCTTTTCCTAGAACAAATTTTAGGCTTTATTACTCCTAGCTAGAAAATGTTTATATTCTATTTCAGTAATTTCTACTCAAGAACTCCAGAGAGAGACAGAAAGACAGGCAAAGAAAGAGACAGAAAGAAAGACAGAGGTCTTGCGGACCAATGAGAAAAAGACAGACAAACCTTAAAAATGGAGAAAAGCAGCCCTGGCTGGTTTGGCTCAGGGTTAGAGCATCGGCCTGTGGTCCAGAGAGACCCAGGTTTGGTTCTTGCTAAGGGCACGTACCTCGGTTGCAGTTTGTCCCCGGCCCTGGTTGGGTCATGCAGGAGGCAGCCACTTGATGTGTCCCTTTCACATCGATGTTTCTCTCTCCCTCTCTCTTCTTCTCTCTCCTTCCCACTCTATCTGAACAAAAAAATGAAAAAATGTCCTTGAGTGAGGATTAAAAAATGGGCAAAAGCCCTGGCCGGTTTGGCTCAGCAGTTAGAGCGTCAGTCCGTGGACCAATGAGTCACGGGTTTGATTTCGGTCAAGGACACTTACCTCGGTTGCATTTTGTCCCAGTCCTGGTCGGTTCGTGCGGAAGGCAAACAGGAAATGTGGTTCTATCACATAGATGTTTCTCTCTGTCTCTCTCTCTCTCCCTCCACCCATTCTAACTGATAATAAGTAGAAAAATATCCTCAAGTGAGTAATAAAAAAAAAAAAAAAATGGATAAAAGATTAGACAGCCACTTCACCAAAGAGAATATCCAAATGGTCAATAAACATGTGAAAACGGGCTTAACATCACTAGTCATCAGAAAAAAGTAAAAGTTAAAAAATACAAATTAAAAGGTAAGGTGTCACTATACACCAGTATAGCTTTTAAAAAAAATGTTAATGATAAACGATCAAGTGTGGGTGACGATACAAAGCAATCCTAACTTCTCAGATTCTGGGAGGCATGTAAATTGGTATGATCATGTGGAAGACTGGTAGCATCTTCCAAATTTAGATTCATGTGTACCCCATGACTCAGAAACGTTACTAATAGTAGTATACGCAAGAGAAAAATGTGCACGTGTTCACCAAGGCATTCTTTACATTGCACGCACCCTCCACTCTGTCTCTCCATCTGCTGAACAAACTTACATTGCAGTACAACTGAGACGGAAGCCAAAGAGTAGCGTTAAAGTGACAATATGCCTATATCTGAACAGAATAGGACCCCAAGCATTTAAGGAAGGAGACTGACTGTGGTACACTCCTAGTCATTGAACGTTAGAGGATGTCCTGATGGTCTTAGCCAGAACTGAGCCTCCTGGCCAATTCTAATTTGTCCCAGAAACTTGAAAAATCGCAGTAAAATGTGCCACACCTACCAGGAGCTCCAACAACTAGAGATGGCTGAGGGCTTTTCAAGGCACTCCTGAGACTTAGGATTGTACAAGCCTTTCAGAAAAGGGAGGTCAAGACATGGGGCACATGGTGAGCGCTTATTGATCTTGAATTGCTCTCTTCCACATTATTATCTCATCTTAAATGTTACAGGACAGCCAAGGCTACTCACCCTGACAATGCTTTTCGCCAGCCAGCCACTGCAAATCATCCCCACATCTGGCAACAGGATCTCCAACAAGAGAGTACCCTTCCCTGCAGGTGTAGACTATGTTTTTCCCAACAGGAAACATGGTATCTTTATCCTAAACAGAAATAAAAGAGAAAGAGTGTGCCTATTTTGCATTAACAAAATGCTTCTTTAGATATATTTGGTCTATAAATCATGCCTTCTCTTAATCGTTAAGCAACCTACACTCACATCACTGGCTTAAAAATGGTCTATAAAAATTATTTACTGTCCTAGCCGCAACACTGGTCCCACCATTAATGGAAATAAAACCATTAATGCCACTGGACTATAATTTATCAACTGCTTTCAAAATACCAAGGACTGTACTAAGCATTATACTAAAATTATTTAGTACGCACTGCTCAAGTAACTTCTTTCCCTTCTACTTTTAGTTAAAGGCAGTTTGTTATCAGGTTTGGGAAACAGCCTTGTCAGTCAACCCCTCACAGTAAAGGGCTATGGGCTGTTCATGGGCGATTCTGCCTGGTGATGCCAGTGTGAACAGACAGGTATGTTCACATCCTATGAGCATGTTCGTGAAAGGTTAAGTTTCCCCCGGATTACTTTTGGGGGAAGCATAATGGTGATCTTGCACCCCACCCTGTCAGGAAAGTGCTGCTGGGCCGGGTCACATTCAAGGGAATTTGAAGTCCGAGCCTTGAGTGGGCAACATGCTGATTCGGGGTCTCTCGGTCCTTCCTCACCCTTCTGGTTCTCTGCCAACCCAGGTGCAGTGAAGAAATCGGCCCGGGAGAGGGCTTGGGGATAGACCGGCTATCGTAGGGCATGAGAGCGAGAGTCCAGGGTGCTTCCTCCCTCCCGCGGCCAGGCCTGGCCGGCCTGGCTCCATCGTGGGAGCTGGTAGGAGACCGAGGCCCGGGCTGTGTGGAGTTCTGGAGACAGTCTGGAAGGACACCCCGTCCGCTCTTCCTGCTCGCTCCCCGGCCTGACGAAGGGCCCCCGTGGGAAAGTGGAGCCCATCTACGTAAACTTGCTCTGCGGCAGCACTGGTAGCGGCCAGTGCAAAAACGTAGACTCTCGGGATCTACCTTACTGTTGTAGCTCACTGTCCTTAGAATCCAACTTGTCTTTAAGCTGCCCTAATTAACAACCTCAGAGACAACAAGATAAACAATAAAAAATATTATAGAGGGCTTTAGCCCCATAAAAATTAACTAGAGTTTGACCTTCACTGGAAATTTAAAAAGCAACATCCTTCAAGAAAAGGGAGGACAGAAATGGACCCAAGGCCAGAGTGTCCTGCATGCTCTGTAAAGAAACTAATAGGGAGAAACTGAAGCTCCCTTTACCCCATAAAACTGTAACTGTTCAACATGTGTGTATTGCACCTGACTGACCGCTAATATCTGTCTCAAATTTGTTAATTTTTAAACTTTGGATAATAAAATGAATAGCAGGACAGATGTATGCTGACCCAGTTCCCTTTCGCCTCAGCTCCCTCCCCCCTCCGTTCCCTCCTGCTTATCGCTAACTGCCTCCGCTTCTGTACGCGCAGCTTGCTTGCTCTGCTAAACTCTTGAATGACTCCTGTCCTATATAAGCAACTCTCCCCCTGAGCTCGGGGCTGCAGTTCTCCTCTGTGTAGGTTGGCTGCAGTCCCTGCGCAGATAATAAAACATCCCCAAAACTAAAAAATGGAGTCTAAGTGTGGTCGATCTCCTGGGTTACAACACTTACACCTACAAAATGAGGGAAAATGGAGGACAAGGCTTAAGCGGCCATCTCTATTATTAAGGTCCTGGGCCACTGTGATATAGTCTGTCCCTGGGCAGTGTTTGAGACCACTGGCTCCTCACGGGACAAGACAGTCACTGCAGACTGGGGCACAGCCTCGGGTTTGCTCAAGGGTGTTAGTTCGCGTGGCCTCAGCCTCTCGGCCTGTGTTACCTTCAGGAACTTCGTGGACCCTGGTGACTGTAGTGTGACAATGTGAGTGTTAGTAACACTGGGTTCCTCTCTCTCTACACGCACACACACACACACTGCTCTTCAATCTCCCAACAGTATCTACATTTGGGAAAACTTCGGTGAAATCTCAGTGTCTGTATGTTCTAGGGCCTGGAATCTGAGAGGCAAACCATTCGTGGAGAAAGCAAGGCTGGGTACCGAGAACCCGGATGGACGGCGTCTCCTACGTGAGCCAGGAGGAGACGGCACAGGGTCGGGGCCCAGGCTCATCATAACAAGGAGAGAAAGGGGCCCCAATTCACAGGGCCCCAAAACCAAGAACATTCCCAAGACAAACAGCAAGTGACTCGTGTTCCTTCCTGAACAAGAAAATGTCCCCAAGTTCAATGACCCATATCTTACCCACACTGGCTAAATATCTGATTGGCTCCTGGAATAAACCTCATACTTCATCCCAAACCCCATATTTATGAAAAGTAAAAATTCTTTCAGTGGCAAGAATAGGAAAAAGTCCCCATGTTGAAGAACTTGCTTCTAGCTTCCTGTTTTAGTGGGAATGGAAATGTTTAGCCGCCCTCGGGCATAATGACATTTCTAATTCACTGGGCTGCAGTATTGATTTACCTTGCCACAGAAGATATACTGCCTTCTGCAGAATTCTAATAGCCTTTGGCCAAAGAACAAAAGTCTAAAACCCTCATCACTAACACTAAGATGCACACATAAAATATTTTTAGCTCTGTTTCCTTGTGGAAGAAGGCCATGGGTTATGACAACAGAAGACAGGCAGAACTCGAAGCAAAGAGTATATGCAAAGGAAAAATAGATCTCTCATAACCAACTTGAACAAATCCGTGCTCCAAGGCAGGGGGTGGTGGGCAGAAACTTGTTGAACTCAAAGGCAAAGGAAAACAATGGGGTTCGAGCAATCTGGAAGGGAAAGAAAACAAAATACAATTAATGTGATGAATTTCCACAGTATAATCAACATTGCACCACAGCAGATTTTTCATTTGCATCCAAAAGGACTGTGTTCATGTAAGTACGTTGACATGATATTTTTGTCACTGTAGGACCAAGTATCTGATCATAACCTGTGATGAAAAACTCAAACCTAAACTGGGGCTTGCAAAAGATAGCTGCTAGGTCAGTAGTGGGGCGGGGGGGGGGGGGGGGGTCGTGCAGAAAGAAAAGAAAAAGTTATTCAGTGGACAACACCCCAACTTTATGTGATTTCTAGAGGTCACCTGTCTCAGACCTACTTTTGGTTCTGAAATTCTTTTAACACAGAATAAATTCTGTACTGAAAATAAGGTCCTTAGAGTTAGTGGTCCTGCAAGAGGAGAAACAGGAGACGGTAACACTTCTGACTGAGCGCCTACTATGCCAGTCGCTCTGCAAATGCGCGCTGCCTCAGTTCGCTGTATCCCAGGAGATGCGTGGACAAAACAAACGAGAATTGAATGTGAATAAGTTGGGAGAATGTGAATAAGTTGTCCAAGGTAATAGAGTAAGAAATATCAAGGCTGCATTCATGTCTAATTAGTCAGACTCTTAAGATCATGCTCTTTTGACCTCGCACAAGGCAAACTCTAGAGGGAGCTCAGAATTTTAACAGCGGTAACTGTCTGTCGTCGAGCAATGGTTCTCAACAGTGCCTCTGAGGACAGGCTACCGCCAGTCTCACCCCCACTCCGGAGACACGGAATCCAAGGGAAAGCACTAGAAACAGCCTGCGAGCGCTCCCCCTCCCTAACTCAGTCCCTTAGACTCGCCACACGCCGAGGAGACTCAGAAACGTGAAGCTGTGATCGTCATTTTCCTCTTTGTATTGAGGAGGAGGAGGGCACTTTTTACTCCTCTGGGCACCACGTAGAGTGAAAATTCCCTCGGTGCCTTCCTTAGGACGCCCCTTTCCATCAAGCGTTATGTCCGAAGGCAGGGGACACTGCTGACGGTAGGTTATGAGGCACCGAAGGTCAGGAACGAGACTTCACACCTCCAGGTACCCACGGGTCACGCTTCCTGCCACTCCCATGACCTTCAAATGACCTGACTCGAACTTTTTGCCACCCTTGGTTAGAGGGGGTCAGCAAGGACAGGGTAAAGCAGTGGGGGGTGGCATGGCCCAGGGGTATGGGTCATCGACGAAGCACTTTTGAGAGAGTGTTTGCAAGGTCCTGGCAGCAGGAATGAGGGTCAGACAGCTGGGCCGACAGTCAAGGTGTTCACCTTCTCTAGTGCCTACGTGGAGACACAGGCGATGCTCCCATGAGACCTGCAACATTTTTTATTATTATTAATCCTCACCCGAGGACACTTTTGCATTTATCCTCAAATAGAGAAGGCGGGAAAGAGGGAGGAAGAGAGAGAGAAACATCGACGTGAGAGAGACACATTGACTGTTTGCCACCTACATGACCCCAACCAAGGTAGCCTGAGACATCTTTTGCCAGGCTCGACGGAAGAAAAAATTGGATGAAATGAGACTTTTCAATATCAGAAACAATTGAGATTTTACAGCATTTGCCAAAACTGCGATGTGCTTCCCACAATTGAACATCTAGGGACCCAAAATAAAGAAATTAGATCCCGAAGATGACAGGTGGAGAATGATCGAAGGATGCCCCTATTCAAGTGGCGATCAGGCAACCCCAACGAAAAGAATGGTGGACTCTTGGAGTTGGGATGGACAGAAATAAAGAAGAGTATTAAACCATATTAACAACTAAACATAAACAACAGAAGTGTGGACTGAGAAGACAAAACCATGCAGTGAGCGAAGGGCTAACTTGAAGATTATGACTCCAACTCAGGGGCGCTAAGGTAGTGGAAGGAATCACAATGTGATAGTCCTTAAATAAACATTTATTGACTTTAAAAAAGAAAAGACGTCAGCCATCTCAAGGCATCTGGCCTTATGGTCAATCCTAAATAAATAAATAAGTAAATAGATAGACGGATAAATAAATAAGTTATGGCTGAAAAGTAATACAACTATTATTGAATGCTTACTCTGTGCCAGGCACTGGACTATTTGCTTTACATACTTAATCTCCTTTAATTCTGATAATATCCCGTTATGGTTTCATCTACTATGATGATCTTAATCTTAGAGGTGTGGCAGGTAACTTGCCCAGGGTCACACAGCAAGGAGGTGGTGGGTCTGCTTGACTCCCACGCTGCTGCTGGGATCTGTGGGGCCAGAGTGCCTCCCAGTTCCCCAGCCTTTTGCAACAACGGGTGGCCATGACATGCTTCTGTCCTTCAACTGACCCTAGTGCTAAAAGGGCAAAGCAGTCACTGATAAAAATCTCCGTTTAATGTTTAACAGTAGCAGCCATCACACAGCCCACGTGTACTGCAGAGGACAGTGAGTCATTGCGGGGGGTCCGGTCTCCATACCTAAGATGCTTCAGCTCCTCGTCTTCCTCCCCGCACTGCCTGCTCTCTGACGTCTCTCCAACGCAGGATTGCCCACCCCCACTGGGAGGGGGGTTATTGCATTTTCTGCTCCTTGTTTTCTTCCCTTCCACACAGGGGCTCCAAGAGGACCAGCAATCCCAACCTCCATCAACCTTTCCTGTAAGATAAGAGGTTGGTCCGAAAGTATTTGGAGAGGAAAATCTCAGAGTTTAGTGCTAAGCTTCCGGCTCATGTGATTATTGGGAGGAGGGGACAATCTGGGGATTTATTACCTTCCGCGTTCTCCAAGGTCTTTCTTCTACCATGGCCAGAGGTCTCTGCACACTGACCAGAGTAGTCCGAATCAAGGTTGCATTAACAAACTTCTTGCAATAATATCTTAAATTTGTTTCTCATTTTATGACCATTTCAAAGCACTCTCACATACGTTCTACCATTTATTTACTTCTCACAAAAATGAATCAGGTGGGCAGGAGGTCAGTTACCGCTCTTGCTTGGCAGGCGTGAAATCTAACACCAGGTGGGTGAACTCCTTGCCTGGTGCGGCAATGGCTGCCAAGAACCACATCCAGACCACAACCCCGTCTTATGATCGAGCTCAGGTTCTTGTCATCACCACAGTTTCTCAATAAAGCAGGAAGTTGCTACTGTTAACGCAGTGCTAGGACATGAGAAAGACATAATGTACCGGTGCTCTGCCGCCGACCCCGGGCTGGCACTGCACAAAGTAAGGATGTGTGTAAGCCGGTGCGTGGTTTCTACCTCCTTCCTTCTCCAATACTACACAAGGCGCTTCCTCAACCCACCCCCATCACCTTCCACCTCGGGGCTGAGCCTCGACTCGCCGCTCCTTCAGTATCTCCCCCATCATATTCCGTGGGGGAGGCAAGAGAGAACTTGTACCATAGTCTAAGAACTTTGCTTTACTAGTTAGAAACGGATCTCAGAAACACTCCCCAAAGCATTGTTTTCTGATAACAGATGGGTGTGTTTACTGGTCCTTAGTTATTTCTACATGCAACCTATATCTCTCTCTTTGCCCCCTACCTCACCCCCATTCCTCAGGATCATACACCAAAACTGAACTAATTTGTATAGTATTTTCCCATGACTGTCCTTATTCTTTCTTCTATAATTAAAAAGAGTTAATAAATTAGTCTCCTGAGGATATTAATAGGGAGTAATAACAGCTTGCTATATTATGATTGCAACTCCACTCCTTGCCAGCAGGGGGAGCTTCCACTTGATCAAATCACTGGAACTCCAAGCCACAAAGGAAAGACGCGGTGGTGGAATTTCAGTGGAATTTCAGTTTACCGGGACAGGCCCCAAGGGGCCACACGTGGGGGCAAGGATGCCTTCCTGAGGCGTGTCTCTGGGCAACCATAGTTTAGTCATGTATTTAATCATTTCTCAGACATTTATTACGTGACTTCTATACATCAAACTCTGTGTCAGGCTCTGGAAATAAAGAAATCAAACAGTCCTGATCTTAAGTAATGAGCTTTCTGGAGGAGAGAGACATGTCAATAACATGTCAATAACAATGAAAACAAACAGCATAATTGTCTCCTACTTGGCCTGCTCCTAAAAGAACTCCACGGAGCACCGGTGCAAAGTGCCAAAAGCACCAGGCACCCTGCTGATGTTCAGAACGTGAGTCACTGATGGGACATCAGACTAATCGGAAAGAGAGAGATTTCAAAGAGCCTGCCAGCGGAAACTTCAGGCACTGCGAACCCGAGCCCCACAGACCTGGGCTATGGCAGAAACTTCGTGGATGCCTGTGGAAGGGTGGGAGGTGCCCTGGGCAGAGTCTAGTCTAACGGAGGCTGGGGGGAGGGGAGTGGCAGGTAGGTGGCAGGTCTGTCAACTGAGACAGAAAAACAGACAGCAAAGGGCCTTACCCCAGTATCTGTAATCCTGAAGTGGAATAGGGAGGGACACTGAATTATGAAATTATTGGATTATGAAAATACCCAGTGGGACTCCCTCCTCTCCATACACGGGAGGCGCCATCTCAGGGGCCAGAGGGAAAGGGGAGCCCCCTTTCCAGTGGGTCCGAGGTAACCAGAGGAAATCCAGCACGCTGACCTGCTTCCTCGCCTACGAGGACCCCTTTCTCGCAGGCCGCGCCGAACGTGTATGGTTTGCAGTGGCACTGGCACCCGGTCCCCTCCACAGTGGCAAGGCCCCCGTGCTGGCAAGGCCGGCAGTGGCAGGGGTCCGACTCATCCAGGTAGTCCTCCAGGGCCCGCCTCAGGTAGAGTCTCTTCACGGAGGCACAGGGCACTTCCTTCACCAGCTCGTACAGAGGCGTCAGCTGCGCAGAGAGACACCACAGTCAGGACGCTGCAAATCAGGCTGTTCGGCGACAATATTTTCCTTTTGGCGTTGAAGCTCAATCCCCATCCCAACAAAATCAAAAACCACTCTTATGTTAATTCCAATTATCTCTTGTTCCAATAAAAAGAGAAAACAATTCACTTTCTTTGTAAAACAAATCTAGGGAAAATCAGGACTAGACAGGGGAGGAATATTTTTTGTATTTTGTGTGTGTATACATTTTTTTTAAACCAACAAGACATTTATTTTCTAGTTATTGAAGACTGTTTTGGAGGCAGCAGATGCCCACCCCTGCAGAGGACAGAGGTAAAGGAAATGCACTTCCATCACAGTAAAGAAGCCCATGCCGTTAAATTTCAAATGAAATGTCCTGACTGAGAGACTTAACATGTCTCTCGAGTGGAGACCATCACTCCTGCTCCCTGAGTAAATGTGAAACAGGGAGACATTATTGCTCCGTGCTGGACATGTCCGATGCTTTGCGACCCAGATGTGCTAGCTGAGTCTCACAAACTGCTCGCCCAGGAACAAAAAGGCTCTGATTTGTAGCATTTGCCAATTTCTCAGTGTAACTACTGTCACTGTGGCTGGTTTCAGGCTGCCTCCATGACGTCATGGAGCACAGAACTGGGAAGAAAGGTGCATCGTTGGCCTTGGAGAAAGTCAATACAAGCTGGCGGCAGCACAGGACTGTCATTTACTGAGGGTCAGTCACATTTCCCTCCGTCTTCTTCTGAACTGGACAGCTGGGACAGTCACAGTAGCTGTAACATGGCTCTACTTTCTCTGTTCCTTTCCTGTGCAGCTAATAAGTTAGCACAGCTAGCTGGGACAGTCACAGTCCTATGTAACTGCTGGGACAGTCATAATCCTATGTAACTGCTGGGACAGTCATAATCCTATGTAACTGCTGGGACAGCCAGTTTTACAGTCACAGTCCTACATAACTGCTGGTACAGTCACAGTTCTACAGTCACAGTCCTATGTAACTGCTGGGACAGTCACAGTCCTACGTAACTGCTGGGACAGTCACAGCCCTAAGTGGGAAAGTGCATAGTTGAGAATGGAAAGGAATGTTGATCTGACGCGTAGAATAGCCTAAAGCATTTCCTCTTGCAAGAATCTAGAGCGCCTCCAAATTAGGGAACAAGGAAAACAATCAAATTTAGGGCAAAAGCTTAATATGCAAATTTTGTCATTAATTTCTCTTTGGATTTACAAGACCTTTTACTTTTACAAATGAAATATGGACATACAAGATAACAAACTTTCTGTTATGATTATGGACGTGTTCATTTTATCATACAGAACACACGTTAGGATTCAGAAAATGCTCATTACAGCCTTCTTTGTTTAACCCACTTGATTTCATCTCACGTTCCCAGTGCAACTCAACAGGCTGCTGCTTCCTGCCGCTTTGACCAGAGCCTCACGCACCTTCTGCTTTATGACTTGGGGAAGCTTGGTCACCGAGCCGGCCCAGGCAGAATACCGCTGCTGGTTTCCAGCGGGGTTATCCAGCTCCAGGAAACTGAGGCCAGTGGCCAAGCCTGGGTGGCCCCCTCTGACAAGGGGGTCCCCTCGCAACACGTTGCTCTGAGTGCCTACACAAGGAGAAATCAAATAAAGTGAGTCGGGGCGCAAAAATGAAAATGAGAACATAAACGTGAAAAGTCCTTCAAGTATTAAAACACAACACATTCAACTGAGTGACGTTCTGGAAAAGATGAAGCAGGGAAGCAGTAAAAAAATCAGTGGTTACAGGGGTGGGCATGGGAGGGGTGAAAGGGGGGAGCGCAGAGGGTTTTCAGGGCATCACAGAGGGTATTCTCTGTGATACTCTAGTGGTGGATACACGTCATTATGCATTTGCTCAAACCCACAGATGCACAACACAAGAATGAACCTCGTGGGAACTGTGGACTTGGGGTGATAATAATGTGTCACTGTAGGTTCATCGACTGTGACAAATGTACCCTGTGGCACTGGGTGCTGATAGTGGGGAGGCTGTGCCTGTGTGGCGACAGGGGGTACATGGAAACTCACCATACATTTGGCACAACTGCACTGTGAGTCTAAAACTACTCTAAAGAATAATATCTATTAAAATTTAAAAGAAAAAGTCATTACCTAACTGTTGATGATATTAGGCAATTATTGTTCATGTTCTTAATGTTTTCAGTGCAATAAGAGAATCAAGCTATACAGAAACATCATTCCTTGGAAGATTCATACATATATTTAGGGGTGAAGCATCATAATGTTACTTCCAAATGATTCAATACATATTACAAATATTTTAAATACACATTATTTACACATTGCTAAATAGTCAATATTATAAATATTATGCACAGATATATATATAGCAAAAAAGGCCAAAATAATAAATATTACACAGAGGAGGTGGGTATATGGGTGTTTACTATTCTGTTCTTTCAATTTTTCTGTATGTTTAAAATTTTTCATAATAAAATGGGGGGCAGCAGTTCATTGCATCTGGAATACTAACAATAACCAAAAAAACTATTACCAGTCACACAGTAACACACAAAAAGTATTCTAAAAAGTTTCCATATTAATTGAATCCTTTTTCATTTATGTGCCTTATAATTTCAGAAATATTTTTACCTCCACTTGTAACTGATTTTTACTCTAGTCATTAGCAGAAATTCCTAACTTGCAGATCACATTAGGGTGATTTTTATTTCCTTTCTTTTAACTGCATTTCATAAAATTTTCACAAAGTTTTGCAAATTCAAAATTTGCAATTTTAGCCTGGCCAGTGTGGCTCAGTGGATTGAACGTCATCCCATGGACTGAGAGGTTCAGGTTTGATTCCCAGTCAGGGCAGCTGCCTGGGTTACAGGCTCCATCCCCAGTAGAGGGCATGCAGGAGGCAGCCAATCAGTATTCCTCTCTCACATCGATGTTTCTATCTCTCTCCCTTCCTCTCTCTCTAAACAATTAATAAAAGAAATAAAAATAAAATGTTGATTTTTTTTTAAATTGCAGTTTTATCATCAGAAATTATTAAAGCCTGACATATTTTCCTGAATGCGTCCTCATCTTCATTGTCAGCTAATTTTTAATATGCAAATGGTCACCCTTTTAATGAAGTTCAGTCCCTTAACTACCTGAAGCGGAGTCACATGGAGTGACTGCAGATCTCTGAGCCCCAACCAAGACCTGTAAGAGAATAACCTTGGAATCGGAGCTCAACAGGTAGTCCTCACGCAGACTAAAGCTTCAGAATCATTGCCTTAGTTGGAACCCCTGTTTATGCACTACAGATTCTAAAACTTCAGTTTCGTGTTTGTTTTAAGCCTGTCCACACCCCAGTGAGCTCTGTGCTGCAGCTGGCCCTCTTCCCCTAGACAATGAGCCTGGTGCAACAGTGAAGAGCCCAGACTGTGAAGCCCACCAACCATGATCTTGGACAACCTTTCTGTGCCTCAGTGCCCCTGTCTGTAAAATGGAAATGAATAATACTTGATTCTTGAGTAGGCAGAGTAAACTGCTCAGTCCATGGCCTCACACAATGCAACTGCAGACTCACTTCTATCCCCACCACACCAAGACTCTCTTTATTGTAAGGCAGTTAAGAGTTACTTGGCAACTCCAAGAAGAGTCTTCAGTCTTTTTCTTGCCTGCTCCCTAGAATTTCTCTCTGTTGACCTCTCCTTCTCCTTTACTTTCCATGTTACTAACCTTTTGGGGTTCTTATCCTATCAGATTATTCTTTTTCATTCTTTCCTCTTTTTCTACAACTTTATCCTGTAAACTTTTATTTAATCACTCCCTATATTAAATCCATTAATGGCACCCCTGTCATCAGGATGAAATCCAAACTCTTTAACTTGGCGTCTAGACGGTCTAAATCTGTCACTTCTTCGCTCAAAGACTAGCACCCCTGATCCCCACCTCCCCGCCGCCACCTCCACCAGTAGCATGTACCAAAGACTTCAACCTCACTGAACATCCATGTCACAAGGCAAACCTGAACCTTCTCCTGATGGTGACATTTTTCTAGGCTTGTTTGCCAACTGTTATCACAGGGGAGAGAGGTGGTACACATGGAGGATTATTTACAGTCCACAGGAGACACCCAGTGAATTCTGCATGAGTCTTATTGCCTTGACATATAAAAGAGAGGTCAGAGACAAAAGTAACCAAATATATGAGAAACATTAAATAGGACACCTATTAAAATGTCCAAGGACTTTGGCAACCAGGAATTAACCAAAGAGAGGGGTGGAGGTGATGCTTGTAGTGCACATTGCCCCCTCTCATTTACCTGCAGCCCTTCTCAAGCCTTCGTCCAGTGCCTTGCATTTGCTTGAAGAAGATTTACCAAACAGAAAGTTGACATTTTTGGAAGAACATTCCTTCATATTTATGTACCCAGAATCTGGTGGGAAAAATTTAAAGGTGCTTAATTTCTGTATTTGTTGAAGACCTTTGAGATGTAGCGGGTATAATAAGGGTGAGGATGAGAGGGTATTTCCTACTACTGTGCCCATCCAACCAAGAGTGATATGATACGTACATGTTCAAGTGCTCTAGAAGAGTCAAGGGTCAGAAGAAAAAATATTTTGTTTTTGTTATTCAATAAAGTAACAGATACTACACTTACTTTCAAATGGTTGCCAATATTAGCTCCTATTAATTTAGACCAGAGAGAAGGAGATGCGGGTGATTTCTACACAAAACAGTAGAGGGGGCAGACATTAAACACCCCAAGGAGTGACATTTTTGCCCATCCATAGTCAGCTTCTCAGGCATAAAGCAAATAGATAAAAGTAGATGTGTGATCACCTCCCACCCATCTACTGGAGACCCCAAAATCTGAGTTCTGTTTCTACAGCAATTAATTCCTAAAACCCGAGTTCTACCCCCTCCATCTCTTCATCTCTAACATCTCTGGTGTCTAACATTTCCTTCTCCTGACTCAAAACCTTAGTATGTAAAATTACTGCTCATTAATTTAATGCATTTTTTTTGGGGGGGGGGGGTAGAACCTGGCCAGTGTGGTTCAGTGGCTGAGCATCGACCCATACACCCAGAGGTCACCAGTTCAATTCCTGATCAGGGCACATGCCCAGGCTGTGGGCCCAATCCCTGGTGGGGGGACGTGCCGGAGGTGGCCATCCGATGTTCTTTTTCATGAATGTTTCTATTTCCCCCTCCCTCTCCCTTTCTCTCTCTCTGAAATCAATAAAGAAAAAAATTTTAATTAAATAAGATGGGGATAGAAAATAATAAAATGTGGAAATATATTTCCTTATATAATTTTATTAATTATAATAACCTCAATATTTCTTAAAGAACAATTGGGAGAATATAGTACTACAAGGTGGGGCAAAAGTGGGTTTACAATTGTTTACATGAAAAATAATGCAATTATTAATAAATAATAATATAAAAATAAACTCTGTTTTACATACTCACAACTATAAACCTACTTTTGCCACACTCTGTATTGTATCCCAGGAGATTTTATTGTATTTAAATTAAACCCTTTAGGAAGAACAGAAACTGCTCACACGTAAAATTTTACTCAAAAAAAATACTTTTACCAACTGAACAAGCTTTTTAAAAAATTATCTCCACTTCCGGTCAGGATGGTGGGCAGGTAAAAGCGGTATCCCACAACCACATCCAAGTTACAACTAAACTACAGAACAACCATCATTCAAAATCGCCTGACACCGAGCTGAATGGAAGCCCTTCAACTATGGAATTAAAGCAGCAGCCACATGGAGACTGGTAGGAGGGGCGGAGGGGACGGGCTGGGCCCACACCCACGTGTGGCGGATAAAATCAGGAGGACACCTTGGCTGAGAAGGTCCTCCCTGAGGACTGAGGGGTCCCTGTCCCACACCAGGTGCCCTGCTCAGGGTTCCAATGCCAGGAGGAGAATCCCCATCACTTCTGGCTGGAAAAACCAGCGGGAACTGAGGCTCAGGGAGGCTGAGGCGGCTGGAGCCCAGGCAGCACCACTTAAAGGGCCCGCGCACGGACTTACTGGACTCTCTCCCTCTAAGCTTGGAGGGGTGGCAGCTCGAGGGGCGCCAGAGACATACAGGGAAGAACTGAGCTGTTTGGCATTGGAGTGAGTGCTGGAGAGGGGGCTTTCTCCGGGACAAACGTGCTGTCAGAGGCCTTTGTTCCTTTGGTGAGCCCTTCCCTGGGGCGGCAGACAGCCCCCATATCTGGGACTCCAGCAACCTGGCTCACACTGGTAGCCCCGCCCTGGTGACTCCCTGAGGCCCCGCCCCACCCAACTTTCAGGCCCACCCAAGCTGTTGCCAGTTGCTTTACCATAGAATTGGCCTGTCTTGGATCCTGCTTCAGGTTTTCCTAAATTCCTTCAAACGAGCAGCATCTGGTCTCAGCTAGCCCCATACCTCTCATTAAGAAATACATAGCAACAGCCCTGGCCGGTTTGGCTCAGCGGTTAAAGCGTTGGCCTGTGGTCCTGAGAGACCCGGGTTCGGTTCCCACTAAGGGCATGTACCTCGGTTGCAGTTTGTCCCTGGCCCTGGTTGGTCGTGTGGGTGGCAGCCACTCGATGTGTCCCTTTCACGAAGATGTTTCTCTCTCTCTCTCTCTCCCTCCCACTCCATTTGTACAAAAAATGGAAAAATGTCCTTGGGTGAGGATTAAAAAAAAAAAAAGAAATACATAGAAACAAACACAGGGAGGTAGCCAAAATGAGGAGAGAAAGAAACAGGTTCCAAATGAAAGAACAGAACAAAATCTCCAAGAAAAGAACTAAGCAAAATGGAGATAAGCAACCTAACAGATGCTGAGTTCAAAATACTGCTTATAAGGATGCTCAATTAACTTAATGAGAACCTCAGTGAACTTAGTGAGGGCCTCAAGAGCATAAAAAAGGACCAGTCAGAAATGAAGGATGCACAGTCAGATATGAAGGAGGCACTAACTGAAATAAAGAATAATTTACACAGATTCAATAGTAGAGTAGATAAAGCCAAGAAGCAAACCATTAATTTGGAATATAAGGAAACGAAAAGCACCCAATCAGAACAGCAAAAAGAAAAAAGAATCCAAAAAAAATGAGGATAGTATAAGGAGCCTCTGGGACAACTTCAAGCATGCCAACATTCGCATCTTGGGGGTGCCAGAAGGAGAAGAGAGAGAACAAGAAATTGAAAACCTATTGGAAACAATAATGGCAGAAAACTTCCCTAACTTAGTGAAGGAAACAGACATACAAGTCCAGGAAGCACAGAGAGTCCCAAACAACATGAACCCCAAGAGGCCCACACCAAGACACAGCATCATCAAAATGCAAAAGGTTCAAGACAAAGAGAGAATCTTCAAAGCAGCAAGAGAAAAGCAGTTAGTTACCTACAGGGGAGTTCCCATAAGACTGTCAGCTGATTTCTCAAAAGAAACTTTGCAGGCCAGAAGGGAGTGGCAAGAAATATTCAGAGTGATGAAAAGCAAGAACCTACAACCAAAAGTACTCTATCCTGCAAAGCTATCATTTAGAATCGATGGCCATATAAAGAGTTTTTCAGACAAGAAAAAGCTAAAGGAGTTCATCACCACCAAACCATTATTATATGAAATGTTGAAGGGTATTTTTGAAGAAAAAGATAAAATATATGAACAAATAAAATGGCAATGAATACATATCTATCGGCAATGGAATCTACAAACAAAATGAACAGGCAGAACAGAAACATTCTCATAGATACGGAGAACATTTTGTTGGTTGCCAGATGGGAGGGGACTTGGGGGAATGAGTGACAAAGGTGAAGGGATTAAGAAGTACAAACTGGTTGCTAGACTGACAAACCTCAAAGAGAAGGGGGTTAGGGGGTTGGAAGAAATAAACCAAAGAATTTATATGCATAACCAATGGACACAGACAACAGTGTGGGAAAAGGCGGGAGGGGGGTGGGAGTGGGGAGGAGGGGGGTCAAAGAGAGAAAAATGAGGAACATCTGTAATACATTCAACAATAAAGATAAAAAAAGAAATAAAAATTTATCTCCATTTCTTTTAAGAAAAGGCAGTAAAACTGAGTTTAGATCAAGCCACTTTCTTGATTAATTTTCCAAAGAAATATTGCCTCTGTCACTGCTACAAAAACCTATGTTTATTCAATTTATTTCCAACCTGTGAAGTTAGAAAACTTCAAATGCAACTTAAATGTTAATAGGTAAAAATTAAGCACAATGGGGAAAATTAGCCAACGGAAATACGGAAAAATATTGTAGTTCCCCCATCAGAGAAGGCTACAAGACCTCTTCTGATTCTCATGAAGTCTTACTCTCCCTCACTCTGAAACTTCTAATGGAAGCAACTGCTGTAAGTCTGGGAGACTGCATTCTCTGCTGAAACTATAATGAGACAGTTTGAGACATTTCCACATGATTTCCTAATGAAGTTATATCAAGTAGACATTTGGCCTGAATCCTGCAGTAGCAATTTTTTTAACCTACTGCATTAATTTTATCATCATATTTTAATAGCAGCTATTCATTATTTTTTATTATAGAAAAGCAAATGAACTGTGCTACCTAATGTCTTTAAACTGCTGCTTTAATGAAATATTTAAACACATTAGAGATGAAGAAGAGGAAGAAGGAGGAGGAGGAGGAGAGGGTCTTACTCTCCTCCAAGGTAGTAAGGGCATCTTGACTGATAAGAAACATTCTGAGGAGATGACTTGGAATGGAGAAGGAAGTGTGGGCATCAGCTAAGGTCAAAGTTGGGAAGGAACAGGTTTGACGGGAACATTAGTACACCAAGGCCAAAGCATCTCTGGAGAGGAAAAATGGATACTATGACACCATTCTCTCCCTTCCTACATTGGTTTAGCTGGTGAGGATCTCACCGTGAAGTTTACAAAGCACGAACTCACGGCGTGCTCTGATTCTAACCAAAACCAGGCATTTCTATCGGCCTCACAGCAGGAAAAAAACGAAGCTGGCTCTGGAGCCAGTTAGACCTCCTCATGACCTCTATGCCCTTCGATGAGTCTCCACCTCTCAGTCTGTGGGACAAGAATTGTAGTCTCCCTGGGTAACAGGGAGGGTCCCTGTTAACATACACAACTTGCCTATTGATAGGAAGGCAGCCAAGAAATGTAAGCTCTTGTTCCAAGTATTAGGTAGCAAGCAAACTTGTGATAGCCACCGCAGATTTTTCTTTTTTTTATCCTCACCCGACGATATTTTTCCATTTTTTACACAGATAGAGTGGGAGGGAGAGAGAGGAAGAGAGAGAGAGAGAGAGAAACATCGACGTGAAGGGACACATCGAGTGGCTGCCACCCGCACGACCAACCAGGGCCGGGGACAAACTGCTACCGAGGTACGTGCCCTTGGCGGGAACCGAACCCGGGTCTCTCAGGACTGCAGGCGGATGCTCTAACCGCTGAGCCAAACCGGCCAGGGCGGGCCACAGCAGATTTTTTAAAAGGAATGTGAGTGGTAAAGAAGAGAGAAATAAAGTACTTCTTTAAGACATCTTGATTTCTGCAATAACTGTCCATTCCTCATTAGTTTTCCCTGCGGAACAATATTTAACCTGAGAAATGGGAAAAGTTGAAAAGTATTCTAAACCCGATCAACACCCTCCGGAGAACACCAGTAATGCTGATGGCGTAGGTCACGTTTCACAGCCCCGTCTGAAAGAGTAGGCAGCCTTTTCTTCAGGCCCGTGAGGTTTTGAGTGAACCATGACGGATTGTTGCGGTTTGGGATCCTTTTCCATTTAATTTCTATTCGTCTGACGTTAGAGCTCTGAAGTTTAGGCTAACGACATGCTATTTCGCCCATTACAATCCTTGCGATGCTTTGACATAACATTTTTTTAAAAAATACTCTACCGCTCTGTTTCATTTTTTCTGTGTCCACATAAAATAGAACTTTGTATTCTCCTCCTAAGGATCCAGACTGCAGAAAATGTGTCCCGTATTTGTCAATCAATTTTCGGTAGGCGCTGTAGTCATACAGAGAGGGGAGGTAGGAGAGTTCCCTCCAGAACGGCTCAGAGAGCTGTAAAAACTCCGGGCTGTTATTGATGAACTGAGCCACTTCCACCGTGTTTTCAACAACCAACAACTGATAACTCTACAGGAAGAGAAAAGAGTAAAAGGAGTTTTAAGTCGACGCTGAAAAGGGAATGGAGTTCTCTGTCCAATGTCTCCATCAACTGCCATCTTCATCAACGGCCACATTCAACCCAGACTAGATGCATTTTAATTCTGATGTGTGATAAGGTCTCTTCTGGGCCCGCTCACTTGAAGCAATCTGAGGAATTTTTGGAATCCCAAGTAGGAGTGATATCTAAGGGATGTCACGGTCATTTCTTTTATACATGACCTTTAAAACCCTATGACCAAGTTGTTACGCCCTCCTCAACTACAAAAAAAGATCCAACTTTATTAACTGCTAAATAATTTCACAAATAAGTATATAAAATGATGAGTCCTTAGGGTCCACATCTTGGTGACGACTTTAAAGTACCATGATGTCCCATACTGAAGTATTTATAAGTCAAGTCACTTCATGATGAGGTCTTTTAACTACTTCTTAAGCATTTTTTGATGTTCAAGACATATCTACTTTTTAGCGAATCTTCACTTATAAGAACAATATGGATATGATAAATGTTTCTATACCCCATATTTCCACAGCTTTAGTCATCAAATAAAATGTTATGTTATATCTGCCTTGTGTGATTTATTAATCAAGTTACTGACTTTAAGAATGATATAAAATATGCAGATTGTGAATGATGATCAGTGTGAAATTTTTTTTCAGCAGTAAGTGTGTATTAATTAGTACAATTCATGTTAACTGTCCAGATTGCCCGAGAAAAAAGTTTTGAAATTTCAAAACAACAAAGTAGCTTAAGTCTTTTAACTTCCATATATAAACATTTTGGTATCTCAAATGTAATAAAGTATTTTAAATTTTTTCTAGAATTAGCATATAGGGAATACATATTGGATGATTTTTTAAATTATAATTATAACACTTAAAATAGTAGCATCGGGCCCTGGCCAGTTTGGCTCAGCAGTTAGAGCGTCGGTCTGAAGACCAGAGAGTCCCAGGTTCGGTTCCCGCTAAGGGCACGTATCTCTGTTGCAGTTTGTCCCGGCCCCGGTTGGGGTCATGTGGGTGGCAACCACTCGATGTGTCTCTCTCTCTCTCTTCCTTCCTCTCTCCCTCCTGCTCTATCTCAAGATAAATGCAAAAAAAAAAAAAAGTATCCTCGGGTGAGGATAAAAAAATAATAATAATTAAAAAGAATACCGTCAGTAATCATGGATGAGAAATTTAGGAAAGTTCTAACTAAAAGATTTGAAAATAATTTTTGTTTTAGGCTTTCAAATAAGGACAAATACTTTAATAAAAAAATAAAAGTATAAATAAATATACCAAAGAAAACTAACAAAATGAGATCATACTTTCTAAAGAAATATATTGTATTTTCTCTTTGACGAAGATACTATTGCCCTATTTTTTTTCAATGAGAGCTGATCTTTTGGTAAACATACTTTTGTTAATGTTATAAATACTTAAACCAGTAAAATATGGAAAAGTTAACTTATATTTCATACTAACCTTTTGCTGCTGGTTTATATTGCTACTTCTTGTTGTAGAATGCGTATCTGAATTCCGTGAGATAAGTCCAAAAAAGGATTTTTTCCTTGTAGATGATGAATATGTTGATGATGTTTCTTTTACATAAGACCAGCTACTGTTGTAGAATTCATAATTAAAATCATTATTTACTTTCACCTATAAAGAAAATGAAAAATTTTGCTATAACCAAATTAAGGCCTTGGACACAATCAAGAACTTTTTGTCATTGATCCTTTAATATAAGTATGTTCTTCCTACAGTCTCCCAAAGACAAAGCTCTTCACTGACACAAAACAACTATGCCTCTTATTAAAGTCAGGCTTGTGTGAGTCTACGGAACATACTTCATCCTGTAATTACTCTTTGTTAAGCAGGAAACGGTATCAACAACGGCAACCCCAAGGGAGTCACAAAATACATTCATGTACAAACATCCATTTTCTTTTAATGTCGACATTTAGCTCAGAAATGAGCAAATCAACAAGGCTACACTAAAAAAAGAACTACAAAGCAATTGCTTCTTGATTTTTTGTTGTTGTTCTAATAGGAACAGAGATGCAAATAGTTTATATGAAGCAATCCAATTATTTGAACTTTGTTTTAGAACGTTCTATGTGATTTCATAGATTTAACTTTCCAATTCTGCTACGATTTATGTGAGTGGGCCTCTTTGCTGCTTAGTTGAGCATCTCCTCACTTCCATCTACTCTACACATAACTGCGAGAAGCATCTTTTTTCAAGGTAGTGTGATCTTCTTAAATTTTCCTTAATTAATACCTTCTTTCTTCCAGCTTAGATCCTGGATTCCCTCAAACTGATCCTTTCTCTGAAATTATAAAATCAAACATCCAACACTCTGACAAAGCATACTCTTCTGACTCTCGTTCTATTACTGCCACATCCGTTATTCAGCTTCATAGAAACAGGTTCATCAATTTCTTTTCCCTCCTTTCTCCCTATTAGCACCTTCATTTCTTTACTTCCTTCCTGTTGCAGTTATGACTTCAACCATTCTCTTGTCAATGAACTTAACTTCCTTGCTAGGTATGTCCTGCCATCATATTTGCCTAGCAGACACCTAACCCTGGTTCAATGTTTGCAGCCAAACTGTTTAGCACTACTCAAGAAAAATCCACATATGATTTCCAACCTCAGTGGTACTCTCATTCTAGTAGTCCTCTGTTTCTCCAGTCAGTTTTCTCTCTCTCCCATTCTCTACAGTATCTGTTTCAAAACCCTGGCCGGTTTGGCTCAGCGGTTAGAGCGTCAGCCTGTGGTCCAGAGAGACCTGGGTTCAGTTCCTGCTGGGGGCACATACCTTGGTTGCAGTTTGTCCCTGGCCCTGGTGGCCCTGATTGTTCGTGTGGGTGGCAGCCACTCGATGTGTCCCTTTCACGTTGATGTTTCTCTCTCTCTCTCTCTTCTTCTCTCTCCCTCCTATTCTATCTGAACAAAAAATGAAAAGAAAAAAAAAAACCCTCTGTACCTACTTGAATCCTCCGATCTTACAACCACTTCCTTTACTCTACAAAGATGAACTTAACCTCTTTCTTTACAAACACTCCATTATCTGACAACATCGTCTTAAATGTCTGGCTAACAAATCTACAGAGTTATTAACATTTCTTTTTTTTCTTTTCCTCCACAGGTGTTCCTCCTCCTGCCTAGGGTTAATTTCTCTGTCTCTTCACTATTTTCATTCCCTCCCACCTCTTCAAAGAACCTATTCAATTGATCAACTATTCCCTCTCCTACAACTTCAACTTTTCTTTCTCTACTGGCTCATTCCTATCAACACTTACACATTGTAACCCATCAAAGTAGAGCACACTGCAACAGTTCAGGAGTCCTACTTCTAGGGTTCAGACCCCATGCTTGTCCTCTATGGTCAGGACTAAGTTATTTAGCATTTCTTTGCCTCGGTTTCCCCACCTGTAACCTAGAGATAACAGGACCTACTTTCTTGAGTTGTAAAGAGAAAGAAAAAGATCCATGCAAAGCACTTAAAACAGTGCTTAATATAGAAATGCTTTTTAATATTGGTGAGCTATCTTTATTATCATTTAAATTATTTCTGGTTAACAAGCTAGATTTAGAAATCTCAGACATCCAAACTCAACCAACAGAAGAGGCAGAAGATCAGATAATTAAACATGAGTTAAAATTGCCTTTAGAATATGTTTTTTATTCATTTTGTATGCATAAAAGATTTGTGTTAAAAAATATAATGAGGAGCCACAGCAATCTTGAAAAAGAAGAACAAAGTAGGAGGGATCACATTATCAGATTTCAGGTTATACTACAAAGCCACTGTAATCAAAACAGCCTGTAACTGGCACAAGAACAGGCAGATAGACCAGTGGAAAAGAATAGAGAACCCAGAAATGGACCCAATGCAATATACTCGATTAATATTTGACAAAGGTGGCAAGAGCATACAGTGAAGTCAAGACAGTTTCTTCAATAAATGGTGTTGGGAAAATTGGACAGCTACTTGCAAAAAATGAACCTAGAACACCAAATACACCATACACAAGAATAAACTCAAAATGGATAAAAGACTTAAATGTAACTCGTGAATCCATAAAAATTCTAGAAGAAAATGTAGGCAACAAAATCTCAGACATCATACGCAGCAGAATTTCCACTGATACAACACCTAAGGCAACAGAAACAAAGGAAAAAATGAACACATGGGACCACATCAAACTAAAAAGCTTCTGCACAGCAAAAGAAACAACCATCAAAATGAAAAGGGATCCTACTATATGGGAGAGCATAATCACCAATGATGCACCAGATAAGGGGTTAATTTCCAAAATATATAGAGTGCTCATACAACTCAACAAACAGAAGACAAAGAACCCAATTAAAAAATAGACAAAGGACCTAAATAGACACCTCTCCAAAAAGGACATACAAATGGCCAAGAGACATATGAAGAAATGCTCGACATCACTAATTATCAGAGAGATGCAAATTAAAACAACAATGAGGTATCACCTCACACCTGTCAGAATGGCCACCATCAACAAGTCATCAAACAACAAGTGTTGGCAAGGATGTAGCAAAAAGGGGACTCTAGTACACTGCTGGTGAGAATGAAAACTGGCGCAGCCACTATGGTGTTACCTCAAAAAATTAAAAATTGAATTGCCATTTGACCCAGTGATCCCACTTCTAGGAATATACCCTAAGAAGCCTGAAACACCAATCACAAAGAATATATGTACCCCTATGTTCATAGCAGCACTATTTACAATAGCTAAAATATGGAAACAACCCAAGTGTCCATCAGTAGATGAGTGGATAAAAAAGCTGTGGTACATGTACACAATGGAATACTATGCAGCTGTAAGAAAGAAAGATCTCTTATCCTTTGAGATGGCATGGAAGGACCTGGAGAGTATTATGCTAAGTGAAACAAGCCAAACAGAGAAAGACAAATATCACATGATCTCACTTATTTGTGGAATATAATGAACTAAAAAAACTACTGAATAAAATTAACCCAGAGACATAGAGGTGGAGTACAGACTGACAAGCCTCAGAGGAGGAGGGGTTTGGGTGGGAAGAGATAAACCACAGAATTTACATGCATGTATGCATGACCAATGAACATAGACAACAAAGCTGGAGATGAGGCAGGGTGGGGGGGGGTAGGGGAGGAAAGTGTCAATGGGGGAAAAATGAGAAACATCTGTAACAAAACAAATTAATAAATAAAAAATGTATTTTTATATATATATGTATATATAATGAGGTACATTCAATCCCAAATACAGGAAGGTCCAGGGAGTTATTAATTTTCTCCATCCTAATCTTTGCTCCCTCCATCTGCAACTCATTACATGCTGAGAATAAATACAGTCTTTTGGCCGGCTGGCTGGCCCTCTCCCAGGATAAACTAAGCAGACTGACCCCTTCCTGAAAGAACCATGGAGCAGGAATGTGCTCATGTTTCAAAGGCTTCCTTGTGGTGTGAAAAATAGGAGGAAACAGAGACTGTGCCTCAGCGAGGTAAGTGGCTGACTCTGCGTTCACCCTGAATAAACTCCATGCTGATAACCACGACAGAGATTCTCCAGGAAGCTGACTGATCCTGCTACATGTTTATTGACTAATACTTATGTTCCAACAAACCAAAAGTCACCTTCCACTTCATAGAGAGCTGAAATTCCATGGCCCTAGGTTGGTCTTTGAAATCCAGAGGACGTCCCCACCCCCACAGTCAGTCCAGACTGACCCCCCGCCATCGCTTCCCCTCACTCCCCCCTGGCTGGGTCCTCAGAACGTCTGTCTTCCTCACTCAGTAACAGGCTGTAATTTCCCTCTCCTCTGACAAACGCCTACACATTCAGTGACTAGTCAGGCATCTTAGATGTCAATCCAAAAACCCAGCCATGCCGAGGAAAACACGTCACAATTGTGCTGTCATTTATGTCCTGCAGAAGCAGAAGCTGTGACCTCCAGCCGTCTGCTTTCCAGAGATGTCAGAAACTCTCTTCCTTCTCCTTCTCTGTGCTCTGTAGCTTTCTAAATTGCACCCAAATACATACCTATATATATGTTTTCAATTCTCCCTCCTCTAATTGTGAAAGAATTACCAACACATCTTCCTAGGACTAGAAGGAGAAAAAGTCCCTACAGGTGCCTGTCGCACATTCTTCGTCTTGGCCACAGGCTACATTTAAATAATTTGAGTACATATTATTCATCAGGTTGAACTTAGAATTCAAATGCAATTAAATACAATACATTGGGAGAGTCAAATATAGTGGAAAAGTCAAATATAGTGGAGTCTGACAGACTGAATCCGAGCTCTGCTACTTAATAATTTGGTGACTTGGAGTAAGTCAGCCAACGTCCTCTCTCTGAGCCTTGGTCTCTAATAGGTAAAATAGTGAAATATTACTTGTCTTCCAAAGATATGGTGAGGATTAAACCTATACAAATTGACAAAAATAGTGCCAGTGCCACACGAGATATTCAAAATTATAGCTGTGATTATTTTTCAGATGTTTCACTTTTCATTTTCATGATTCAATAGCATGTCATTTTCATGATTCAATAGCATGTCATTTTCATGATTCAATAGCATGTCCTAGAGAAATTCCCCTCATTTACATGGGATGCTTGTAAGTTGGAGAACAATGAGTGTGCTGTTCATAATCAAAACTGCTTTCTGCAGAGGGTTAATTTTGGCAAACAAGGGTCCTTCCTTCTGAACGTCCCAATAGTTTTGGTTTACAAATTTGGGACTAATAATAGGAAGCACTACATTGGAAACTTGGGTGTTCTGGGAAGAAGGGAGGAAATCACTGGAGGGGAGATCTCGGAAGAGGAAGGACTACAGGAAGGGGCGAGGAGGAGGGGCCACTGTGGACCCGCTCAGTGGAGGCTGCCAGCTGATGTGTCTGACACGCCGGCCTCTCTGCCAAAATAAAAGCCGTCTCCAAAGTTGAAAGAAAGGAAAGAAAGAAGGAAGGAAGAAAGGAAGGAAGGAAGGAAGGAAGGAAAGGAGGAAGGGAGGGAGAAAGAAGGAAGGATGGGAGGGGAGGAGGGAGGAAAGATAGGAGGGAGGGAGGGAGAAAGGATGGAAGGGAGGGAGCGAAGTGCTAAAACAGGATGAGACCAGAAACCTCGTTTTGTTGAGCTCAAGGAAGGACAGACGTTTAAGACAGAGGCTGTCGACTGTTTTTGTTGAATGTATTTGCTCTACTGCAAAGAAAAATCTCTCCTCTATGTTCCCTACAAGCTTCAGGAACATCCCTCAAAGCCCTGTTTTTGCAACAGTAGGTTTTGTGTTGAAATCAAGGAACAATGAGTTTCCGTGTGTCTGTGCAGAGAAGCGGAAGCCTGCAGCCAGAGCAGACCCCGGCCACGAGAGGTGTGAGGTCGGGCAGTGCCGCCGGCGTGGGCAGGGACGGGCAGCGCGGAGCACCCTCCCATGCGGCTGGCGGGTGCAGACTCATACCCGTGCTGGACACTTGACCTCTAAAGCGTATCATAGACCGGGCAGCACTCTGAGCTCCAGCATGTCCTAGGGAAATGCCCCTCATGGGCATGGGACTCCTGTACAACAATGTCCAAAGTATTTTCATAAGAAGCAACTGGGAACAGCAATAACAATGCCATCTATATCAGCATGAACAAAATTGGAAACCATCATTTGGAGTGAGAAAAAAAAAACAATCCATAGAAGAATACATACTATATGAGTTATTTATCTAAATGGCAAAATAGTCAAAACTGGATTACAAATTTTTGTTTAGGGACAAAGACATTGGGGATGCACATATACGAAAAAACAAGGGAATTATTGATACAAAATGTGAGCGAGTGGTTGCCTGGGGAGCTGAAGGGCAGACTGATCAGAGAGGGGTAAGCAAGGACCTTTAAATCACTGGTAATATTCTCTTCCTTAAGGTGGGTGATGGGCTTCGTTTCTTTAGTTTTTTTCCCAACTGCACATAAATGTTATTCACACTCTTTTGTACATCTGAAATATTTAACAATGGGAAAAGAAAAGCATTTTTAAGTGACTGTGGCAATTCTAAGGAAATGATCATCCCAGCCATAGCCAGCGCCTGACTTTTGGCACCAGGCAGGGACAGACCATGAGTTCCTGGCCCACATGGAACAGAGGCAAAATGAAAATGAGGCAAAGGGATATTTCAGCTCAAATGACAAAAGTCAAAGTAGCATTGCCCTGAGTTCCAGAGTCACATAATGGCTATTCTTTTTAAGTCCATATAAAACATTTCAAAGAACTGACCACATACTGGGCACAACTCAATTATCCACAAATACCAAAAAACAATCACATAAATAATGATCTCTGACGATGACTCACGGGTTGGCAATAAGTAAGATCAACGTGGTGAAGTACCTGAAATGTGTAGGAGATGATGTTCGCGCTCAGCCTGTAGAACTCTCGTCCATCCCCACTGAACACCTTTCTGCACTGACCGCCAAAGCTATTCGTGTTGATGACTCTGCTCCGGAACTGGCCAGTCAGTGCATTGTAACTGGTTGTTGTTTTGTTCGTTTTTTGTTTTTGTTTTTTTTTAAGAAAAAGGAAGAACAGATGATTAAAATCAGAAATAACACTTGCTGGAAAAGGCATCCTTAGAGAATGCTAGAAACACATTAGGGTTAAGTATGTCTTTGAAAGAGAGCTCAGACAAAGAGAACAGAATTCTAATGTGTACCTTCCTTTATCTAGCCTCCTTTGCTTGGTATGATAGCTAAAACTAAAATCCAGGCAAATCCAACATCTTTTCAGCCTAAGAACATGTTTAAGAAACACACAGCCCTTTTGTATGTATAGCAACAGCTGGTTTTGAATTAAATCTCCAGGTAAAACCAATACAGTTAAGATTACCCTTGAGAAAGGGCTCTCTAAGGAATTTCAACTGATTGCTTCTTAGCATGTTGACTGGTATTCGCTTTAGAGCAATTTTACCATTTCTCTATGAATGAATTTTAAAATATCATAGAAAAAAAAAACACATCTGTCATCCTACAATAGATTCTTTTAAAGCCTTGAAATCCTAACTTGGATCTGACCCTCAAAAATTCTTCAGAATTCTTTTTGAAAAGGTAAACAGATAATTGTCTCAACTTTACATGGAAATAAAAGTCCCCAGCAAGCCCGGCCAGTGTGGCTTAGTGGTTCAGCGTCAACCCATGGACCAAGAAGTCGCCAGTTTGATTCCCGGTCAGGGCACATGCCCAAACTGTGGGCCTGATCCCCGGGGGGGGGGGGAGGGCATGCAGGAGGTGGCCAGTCGATGTTCTCTCTCATTGATGTTTCTATCTCTCTCTCCCTCTCCCTTCCTCTAAAATCAATAAAGAACAAATATTTTTTAAAAATTATAAAATAAAAGTTCCCGGAGAATTTGAGCAATTACTTTTTAGCCGGAATATTCCAATTATTCCAATACACGGTTTCACCTCTCTGTGCCTGCTCTCATGCTCTTGTCTTCATTCCTTTGAGTAGACCTACCCACTGAACCAGTCTCTCTCTCTCCTTGTCTCGCTCCCATGGTGTGATCAACTATGTGGGTTTTCCCAGGTCTGCGAGGTTCCCCTGAAGGCGGGACTTTCGGGGCTTAACCCAGGACAGTCCAGGGACAATCAGTCACTGTATTTTACCACATATATATTGACAGGTATACAGATAGGAATTAAAAAACTGTTTCAGGATGTGGCAAAGAGCTCTGAGCCAAAGGCTTGGCTATTAGGTGATTTACTATTAAACTTACCAAAATAAATAAAACAAAACAAAAGGAAGAATTACAACCCACCAATGTGCACAGGAGGCCCCAAGCGCTTACCCATTTCCGGTAGATTCTACGTTGGGAGGAGGTTTATCGAGGTCGCAGGAGGGCCTGCGGTCTGTGTCCTCACACTTGTCTTCGTCGGCACTGTCCTCGTCACAGTCAGAATCCCCGTTGCAAACCAAAGCCCTGCTGATGCACTGGCCTGCCCACAAGAAAAGCCGAACGCAAACACACGAACATCAAGCGCAAGAAAGGAAACACCGCACGGGATCCCAGGGGGTGCCCCAACCCCTGCCCTGCTCTGCCGATCCACTGCAACTTTGACATCACCCTTCAGCATGTCCGGCGAAGGATTCGGTATTATTTTGGTCCTCACTTTGCAACACGCAAAATTGATTCTGAGCTTGGCCAGACACAAAATTGAAAATGAAACCTGAATTCCAATTCTAGACTTTCACCCGTGAGCACCAAGCAGTTTGTCTGAATCCTCCAATATTATATATTGCCAACCACTGGGAAGAGAGTGGTCTCCTGCCCTTCCACTTTGGCTTGCTTTTCAGGATCACTAACCAAGATGCCCAGGTCCTGCTTTTCTTGGTGATTTAGATGCGTAAGCTCCGAGAGCAGGGGAACTGAGACAAAAGGTTACAAGGCAACATTTCTTTCGCATCTACGCTGTGTGAGAGACTCTTCTGGGTGGGGGGGATACAAATATGAATAAAAATGATATTTGTCAGGCTTTTAATTTACTACACAATATAATAGGAGAGACTATAAAGACACCGATCGTTGCAATTCAAGAGCGTAATTGTCATGGTAGACATCAGCCCAGGGTTTCAAGGATGCACTGGAGGGTACAAATGACCTAGCTCGCACCTGTCTCCCCAGCATCATCTCCAGACAGTCTGTCTGCCAGCTTCCCAGGCCCTGGTCACCCTGGGTCACTTACAGGACTCAAGCCCGGGGTTCCGGGCATCTCCACTGACCTTGCACTTAGAGTTGTCTCAGCCTACAGGGTTTCCTCTACCTACCACCGGCTTATCTTCGAGAATCTGACTGCACATTATCTCCTCTCAGAAACCACCCCACCCCCAGGCTGCGACGCATGTCCCTCCTCTTGTCCTCACAACACGCAGTGCACACACTGTCCCGCTGCAGCGTGTGCCCCGCTGTGCTGTCACTCAAGCAAACATTTGTTGAGTCAACTGCGTACCAGGCATTCTAGATGCAAAAATCCAATGTAATACGGAGTGGGGCCCAAGGAGGTTTACAGTTGTTCTTACGGTAAATACAATCATTAGTAAATAAATAAGAAGAAACTCTGTGTTTGGCATACTCACAACTATAAACCTACTTCTGCCCTACCCTGTTTGTCTTCAAAGAGTTCACAGTCTGCCAAGAGACATCCAGGCCAACAAAAACTTCCAGTTACAGATGGTTTCATGTACACAGGGAACACAGAAGAGATTTATTAATTAGCTCCATCAGTTAAGGGTTTAGGGAAGGCTTCCCAAAGGAAAGGTCATTTGATTTGGGTTTTGAAAGCAAAATAGAAGCTTTGACGAGTATTATTGAGGAATACAGGGATTATCTAGGTACTAGTCTGTCCATAAAACTTTAATTTTTTTTTTAAGAGAAGAGGCTATATGTTTTATTTCTAAATCTACAACCCTCATCACTATATCTGGAACATAACAAGAATAATAGATGTTTGCTAAAGGTGGTTGAATTTCTCTAGCTGCACAAATGCAACAGACAATAAATCAAATAATAATGGAAAAACTATGTTTCAATCACCCATGCATAGGGGTGACCTGAATTGCTTCTTGATTAGCTATTAGAATCACTATTCTTATAAACATAAGAATAATTTTGGTAGTAACATTGTTTTTGCCCAATCTCAGTGCTCATACCAGATCTTCACCAAAAATACAACGTCAAGAACTGTCCAGGTCTGCCCAGAGTCCTATTTCTTTTGTTCAAAGAGGCAAAGCGTCTCCCCACTTTTATTACCGTATTCCTCCCCTTGCATTTAAAGCAATAGTAGTTGAGTGTATGATTATTATGTCAATAAAAATAATACTGCTATTTGAGGGAAATTAATTTATAGGTCATTATAAATCCAGTAAAATCCAACAAACATTCACTGAGCAAGTTAAACAAATGACACTTGGTTTACACTCCGCATGCCGAACCCACGGAAGACAAGTACCTGAGAAACACCTGAAGCGCTCTCCACACCCGTCCTCGGTGGGGCAGCCTTGCACAGGCTCACACGCTCGTGTCTGAAAAGCACTGTCCGCGCAGGGCTGGCCGCCGTACTGCCCGTACACGGCAGGGGTCCGCCTGCGGGTCTGAACAGAACACAGGTGGTGCTCACCGAGAGCTGCAGGTGGCTCCACCTGAGAATAAGGTCTGAGAAGAATTGATACGGTTGGAGAAGCAACGTTTGGGAAATGGTTCTGGTGTCCCGCAGAAGTAAAATCTGCAAAATCAATGAACCCATGGACCCACTTGTCCTTGAGTCCAGGGACACGCGAGTTATTAGTATAGATAATATATGTATATATATTTATTTACTATATATATGTACGCTCAGGAATGAAGCTAAAAAAATATTAGTGAATCTTTCAGAAAGTAAGAGTTAGCTGGGTAAAGATATATGCAAATAGAGTGCAATATAGAAAGATTGATGATTTGCCAAAGCTATGTACCAGGAGCTAATTAGAAAGGCAGCAGCGAACTTGGCTGGAGAGAGGGCAATGGCATTGGGAAAGGAGCTGAGACGTAATGGAGTTATGGAAACTTTGGTAAAGCGGTGGCAATTGATTTGAGCCGAATATTAACCCTTTTTCTTGAGGGTAAGGCTTGGCGATCCAGAGAGAAACACGTTAACATGAAAGGCAAATCTACAAAGCAGAAGCCTAGCCCTGGCCGGTTTGGCTCAGCAGTTAGAGCATCGGCTTGTGGACCAGGGAGTCCTGGGTCCGACTCTGGCCAAGGGCATGTACCCTGGATGCGGTTCGTCCCTGACCCTGGTTGGGGTCGTGCAGGTGGCAACCAATCAATGTGTCTCTCTCACATCGATGTTTCTCTCTCTCCCACTCTCTCTCTTTCATTCTCTCTCTCTCCCTCCCACTCTGAAGATAAATGTAAAAATATCCTCAGGTGAGGATTTTTTTAAAAACTGGGTTGGAGGTGGGGATTCCTTCGGACAAAGGGTCACAGGAAGGTAGTTTTACATCAGCCTGGACCTGGCTCTGGCATTTCTCAGTGGGGAATGGAACTCAGAACAACGTCTTGATAAGTTTGGTGTCTGCATTTCACTGATGAAGACACCTCTCATGCATGGCTTATGGACCGGCCGTTCTCTGAAGCTCCGAAGCACAGGCTGTGCTGTCTCAGTAACGTTTTCCCTCCCCACCTGTCGGGACAGCGTGAGGACCGTCTTCTCCAGCAGTCTCATTCTCACCTGTCAAATTCCCGTCTTACGACCCGTTTTCATTTCCACTTGTCTCTTTCTGGATGAAAAGTTTGTATAAGCGGAGGATGTATATCCATTGCACCATGACCTTCACCCAAAGAGAAAAAATGGCTAACATAAAAAATACCTTCTATCTACTTCTGGTGAGTGTTCTTCCTTAACTGGTTTTTCAATTATAAAAATGTTTTCTGTGGTTAGTGTTTGTTTGACATTTGCCTGGCTACTCATGTACCTTTTCGCCTGGGTACTCATGTCATCAGAGTTGCCATCGATCGCGCTTGCCAGAAGTCAAACTCCGCATCTGTGTAACTTATTTTTCAATACCACTCACAGAGGTACTAAATAAATGTCCGATGAAAATGGTAATTACGATGATGCTTCAAAATCATCGGCAATATGTTTCTGTTGTTGTAATAATTAAAAAATAAAATTTAAATACACACTTTTATCCAAATAGAACTATCTCTAAACTATTTTACAAATATAAAATTATGTTGAGCACCTGAAACTATGATAATGTTACATGTCAATTACTTTTTTTTTTAATCCTCACCTGAGGATATTTTTTATTTTTCTTCAGACAGAGTGGGAGGGAGGGAGAGAGAGGGTGGGGGAGAAAGGGAGAGAGAAAGAAACATCAACATGAGAGGGACACATAGACTGATTGCCTCCTGTACGACCCTGACCAGGGCAAGGGACCAAACTGAGGTACATGCCCTTGACCGGAATCAAACCCACCACTCATTGGTCTGCAGGCCAATGCTCTAACCGCTGAGCCAAACCAGCCAGGACATCAATTACATTTTGATAAACAATATTTAACCATTCGAATGTTCAGAACCTTTAAAACAAACATTATATTTTTAAAATGTATCCTAAGTAAATTATCAGAAAAGAGGATATATGCCTATGTATAAAAATGTTTATTAAAATTGTATTTATAATAGCCAAAAATGTAAATAATCTAAATCTCAAACCATAAGAAAGTAGATAAATAAGTTTGGTGCATTTATATAAGGGAACATAATACAGCTGTTAAAATCCATGCTGATAGTATATTAGGTTAAAATAATAGGATACAAAACTATGATCAAATAATCCTATTTTTAAAAATCATAAATACACAGAAAGAAAATAAAAGAAATAAATACCAAAATCCTGGTATATTGGTTTCTTCTAAATGGTGGGATTAAAAGTAGCATTTTCTTTATTTATACTTTTCTCTATTTTCTCTAGTGAGTAATTTGTAACAAGAAAGAAGTAGACATTTTTGGAAGTACTCTATAATCTCCAGAACAGGTCTGCTATTTTATTTGTATTACTGAAGAATGAAACTTTTAAAAATTGCAGATTGGTTTACTTTTCATGGTCATTCATTATTTGTCAAGTAAAACAAAGCAGTAATTTTGCTACCTGTTAGTGTTTATTTCAAATAAGAAAAAAAGTTGAATTCAGTAAACATGAACCAGATTTTTAATTATCCACTAACTTCATTTCATGCTATTCCTATTTCTCTAATAGCACAAGAGTTAGTGAGCTGCTTTTCATTTGCATCCTATGTATATTTATAGGCTCAAAGGTAAGATTTAGAAATGTCCTGTGAGAAAAAAAAATTAGAATACAGAAATTACTTTATTACAATAGTAATTACAGAAGTTATACTTCTTTTCCTCTAAAATTACTAATTATATTATGAAGAAACAAAAAATAGCATTCAAACATCAATGCCCTTTTGTCCACACCTGTGCTATTCATCAGATAAGTAATAAACACAAAGTTTCTGCATGGTCCTACCTGAGACTTGGTACACCCATTGCATTCTGACCAAGGGCCGAAGGAACCCCACTGGCAATTGACAGGGGAGGAGGCGCTGTCCAGTCGTTCACCATAAAGCAGGTGGAAAGACCAGAGAGAAGGGACACAAACAATAGTCAAGAATAGTCAAAAACAGTCAAATACAGTCAGAAACTGCTTCACAATTTTTTTCCTAAGAGAAACCAAAAGTACCCTAAATATATTTCTAATATATATAAAAGGGACCCACTTTTTTAGAGAGGAACATTTACTAAACATCTATACTGGAGACACTATTTAGACACTAGAGTTGCAGACATATTAAGAGAGCAAGGTCATTAGCTGTTGATAGAGGGGAAAACTAAGACACAGAGGCATAAACAATCACATACAATAATACCACCATAACCTGCAATGCAATACGATCTGAAGGATTCCGTGGCAGAAATGAGTACAGTGTGTTGCTATGGAAATGCAGACAAGGCAATGTTCGGAGTTGGGAGGGATGCGTGGGAACACACAGGAGGGAGGTGTTCGGGCCTTTGGAAGGGTTCTAAATGACGGGTGGAAAAGTTATTCAGAAACTTTCGATCCGAGAGACCAGGAGTTCTAAGAAGAGCCTGTGAGAAGTGGGAGACTGAAAACTAGCAAAGGCTACATGGACAGGAATTTATTTCTAAATGCTCCCCTGTTCATGTAGGTCTCTTCTCAAGTGCACGCCCACAGAGGGGAAACCTGGGCACTCAAATGAAACACGTGTGGAAAATGGGCAGCTGGTGTTCACACAGCGCCTAACTGGGCCGTGTGGAGGTCGCAGGCTCAGACCTACGAAATCAAGGCCTAGCCACATTTACAGACGGCAAAGGAACGAGGCCTCTTTTTTCTGGATTCGGAGCACATTTCCAGCCTTGGAAACGTTGTAAGGTAACTCGTGCTTGTCTCCAGGATGTCGGGCACCCTTGAGACAAGGGCTCCCATTCCGCGACAAGTGTGTCCCGGTGTTTTTATGGGGCCAGCCTTGCTCACCTGTAGTCTTTTTTTTGTTTGTTTGTTTGTTTTTATCCTCACCCGAGGATATTTTTCCATTTTTTGTACAGATAGAGTGGGAGGGAGAGAGAGGAAGGGAGAGAGAGAGAGAAACATCGACGTGAAGGGACACATCGAGTGGCTGCCACCCGCACGACCAACCAGGGCCGCGGACAAACTGCAACCGAGGTATGTGCCCTTAGCGGGAACCGAACCCGGGTCTCTCCGGACCGCAGGCCGACGCTCTAACCACTGAGCCAAACTGGCCAGGGCTCACCTGTAGTCTTGACATGGCGCCAATGAGCCCCATGCCCCCAGTAGAATTACTGACCCTGAAACAATCTGAATTTGCTGGTTTTCTCTTTCGGGTCCCCGGGACAGGCTTAGGGAGGGGGGCTAGCTGGCCTCGCCCCTGTGCTCCCGCAGCCCCCCCATCAGGCCATCGCGGAGAGAGCCCTGAGCACATGTACCGAAATCAGCTGCTCCAGATCTGCATCGCCCAGGGGACTCTCAGCGCTGGCTCTGTCCTCCTCCCGTCCCCAGTCACTAGCACAGCGCCTGATACAGCTCCATAGAGTGAACTGCCCTGGTCCCTTCCCACCAAACTGACTACAAAAGCAAAACAAGGCCCTGGGTAAACGGTGCAGCTGTTTTCCAGGTCGTGAGAGCCAATAAAACTGTTTTTCTTAAAAGACTCTCAACGTTGAATTTCTTTTAAAATCCAAAGAATGATTTGCAGTGACTACATGTGAAGATCAAATTCTGCTCTGAACTGCGTTAGGGCAGCACGATTCTCCAAAATGCAGGTCTAACCACGCAGCTGGGACAAACAGAAAACCTCGAGGTATATTTCATCTTCAGGTTTCTTCCTTACAGAGAATACCAATACCTTACAGAGAGTACCAATACCTTACAGAGAATACCAATACCTTACAGAGAATACCAATAAAAGAATACCAATAAAACAAGCTATTGCTATCACTGCTTTTCTCAATAGCGGAAGGATGCAGTGTCGAAGGGATAAACATGCTTGGGCTACAATGTGGCAATAAAGAATCTCCTTAAAAATAATAATAAATCCAAAAAATTCTCACCTTGAAAAAACTGGGAACTCTCCTAGAAATCCCACCAAGATGAATAAGCTTATTGTCTGGAGGGAAATAAAAGCATTATTTAGTTTGTATTTCTTGAATGAGTTGTACACGTTTAGATTTGTTATTTAGGAATATAAAGAGTAAAAGGACCGTGCAGAAGTCTTGATGACTCTACTTGTCTTTTAAGTTTTCATTTTATGCCCTGGCCGGTTTGGCTCAGTGGTTAGAGCATCGGCCCGCAGACCAGAGTCTCGGGTTCAATTCTGGTCAAGGGCACGACCTTGGTTGCGGCAGCCAGTTGATGTGTCTCTCTCACATCGATATTTCTTTCTCTCTCCCTCTCTCTTCCTCCCTCCCACTCTCTCTGAAGATAAATAGAAAAATATCCTTGGGTGAGAATTAAAAAGAAAGAAAGAAACTGTGGCTATCACATTCCCTACTCTAGGGACACACTGGGTTCCCTACTCTAAACCTCCTGAGGACCGGGATGGGGTTTCTCATTTCTTCATCCCTTTGTAAGGCTCTCAGCAAATAGCTATTGAATAAATGAATAAATAGTAAAATAAATAAATAAGAGTTTAATATAATTTTGTTAAGCTCACCTCCTACTCTTCGTTTCTGTAAACACAACCAGGGGCTGGGAGATGTCATGGATACATTCAAAATGCTCACTAACATTACATTGTCACAAGCATTTCTTTGGGGTCCCATCATCTTCCAGTTCCTTTCTCCACTGTCCTGCTCTGCTATCAGCGCCCATGAGGACACCCAGAGAGGAAAAGTCTGGAGAAAGAGCAGAGCCGCGGACAAAGGAGTGAAAAGGGAAACCAGCTTCGTAAATGAAGAAGGAAAAGTTGCGACACGTCCCTGGACAGAAGGGCAGTGATGTTCCTGCATCTTTGAAAAATCTCTGAGGCCTTTGGTCATCCTCTTTACCTGGTAACACCACCTAAATATTGAGGATCTCACAGGTTACAAAGATGTATGTGAAATGTAAAGACATTTTGTTTGAAAAAAATCAACTGTGTATTAAAAACAAATCTATAAAGAAGTATAACACAGGATAAGAGTTTGTTCCCGGTTGTAAAATCATAGGTGATTTTTATTAGCTTAGTTTTACTTTTAAGTATCTTCCTACTTTACCTGACTACCGAAGTTGTAGGAAATACTATTCAAATATTGACCGGGGATGCTGTAAGAATATCTAATGCATTCAATTCATAACCCAGTATGAGCATCTTGAAAGTCATCCCAGCCCTCATGGTAACAGGCCAATGTGCTTTCTCTTCTTCCTCAAACCTCTTTCTCTCTAGGTAGCTGTGGGGCAGCTTCCCAACATTGTTTCCAGACCCTTCTACTCACCCTCTGAGATCACTTGTCTTCATAGTAGGTATCTTCCTTCAGTTATAAACTCCTTCTTGCCTACCTCTGTCTTAGATATTTGTACAAATCTTTTTTTTTTTTAATTTTTTTCTTTATTGATTTTAGAGAAAGAGGAAGGAAGAGGGAGAGAGGGATAGAAACATCGATGAGAGAGAACATTCACTGGCCGCCTCCTGCACGCCCCCATCTGGGGATCAAGCCCGAAACCCCGGCATGTGCCCTGACCGGGAATTGAACCGGTGACCTCTGGGTGCATGAGTCGATGCTCAACCACTGAGCCACACAGGCCGGGTAATACTTGTACACATCTTTTAGACTCTTATTCTGATTAGCAGAACCAAGGAGCTGCAGGCAACATGGAAATGAGTAAATCATGGTGGGGGAGGCTAGGACACTTCCTGAGTTTTCAAAAGACACATGAAGCATATAATGTAAAGCAACATCTTTTAAAGGTTTTATTTTGTAATTATAAACTACATGTTTCTTTTTCCTTTTTCTGATATATCTCTGAGCTCTCATTTTTCCCCTGGGAAAGCCTCTATCATAGCTTTATTAGTCACTCCCAGGCATTGACAAATTTTCAGAAAATAAAAATTCTGGAACAATTTAATAGTCAAATTTCAATTTATCGTTTGATTTTCAATTTTTCTCCTGCTCCCAGTTCCTGGGTGCTAATAACAAGGGAGGGGTGTTCTTGGGCTTCTTTTCCCCACCCCCTCCCCAAGCTGCCTTTATCTTCTTCAAAGTCAAAACAGCAGGGGTAAAAGAGGAAATGGCCAAAAAGGTCTTTTATTATTATTATTATTAAATGTATTGGGGAGACTGCTAGACTCATTCAGTGGGAGTCTGGTGATGGTAAATCAGGGTGTGTTGGATGTTTGAACGCCAACTCTCCATCTCTCAGTGATTCTGCGGTTCTTCAGATGCCCCCCTCCCTTGGGGATCTACCGCCACCCTTCTCTGGCACAAACGATTCGTCTTTGGGTCTCTCCTAACTCGCACCAGCGCCTGCTCCCTGGAGTCCTTCTCGCACTGACGCTGTCTGCTGGCGCTGCTTCATCCAGGCGGCCGCTCAGGCAGAGCCCCTGACAACACGAAGGCCCGCGTCTGGTCCGTGGGATGCTGCAGCACGTTCTCGTTCCCTCAGACTCCGACGTGGGGTGCAACCCGTACTGCTGTGTGGTTTGTTCTGCTAAAGGCAGGCCGGTCAACCAGCCTACGCTTCGGATTTTCTCATATGTGAGGAGGGTGTTGTTCTCTGTCCCCCATGCACAAAGGGACACAATCTTGCATACTCTTAGGGGTAGAGGTGGCCAAAGGAACTAGACAGATTTAGGGCTGCTCTTTCTGTCATACTACATTGAACGCGAGGGTAGTGAGCACTTGCTGTTCTTGGTCTTTGACTCCCAGCCAAGTCAGGCATCATGAAAAAAAATCAATTTTTAATACTCTATTAAAAGAATTTCAAATACATTTTAGGGAAGCTTTTTTTTCCCCCATCAAAAGTGCCTTTGACACCACTGTCCCCATATACACACTCCTTATTATGACCTATGAAGATCAGCTTATGACAAAGCCAGTTTCTGTTCATGAGTTATGCAAGCTGAACCTAATAACCAATAGAATATCTTAAGAATTTGCTAGCTAGATACCTGAAAATGAAGCAGTTATCATTTCTTACCTTTGGAAAGAGTATTTTATCAAAAGGACAAGTTAGAAAAATCACAAATTAATGAACAGTCACACTAATGACAGAGACAGACAGACATCTGAATTGATTATATGAAAGAATTGCTTATTTGAAAAGATATGGTGTCTTATACTGTGTGATACAGCAAAGCTGGAACTACATTTCCCAGAATGCTCTTCTCTTTCTGAACAAACACTAATTCTACCTGTTTCTTCCAAGTTGTTCCAGCTACAATCATCTCCTCCATGCTTCTGATTTCTTCAAGTCTGGTCATTTGTATTAGTCTTTTGAAACATGAGCCCATTTGGGGTAAAAAAAATAAATAAATATAATTTCTATAGTATACACTGGGTTCCAATATCCAAATTTTTTTAAGTATGAAAAAAAATCGAATTTAATTTATTGAATTTTCCTAATTACTATCTTGATCAATACATTTTGAACATAGGGCACCATACAAAAGAAGAAGTTAGATTTTTTTTTAAATCAATTTACTTACATCTGTATTAGAAATAAACATCAATTTGCGACACTTCTAACAATGGTACAATAGTCTTTAGAAGGATGTTATAGATTCCAATGATAAGAGAACATGACTATGATATAAGTATAAAGATTGAGATCTAATTTGATAGCAATTTAATAAAGTAAATTTTGTACATATTCCTATGAAAGTCTGAAAAGAAATGGGTTAAAACGTTAATACTGGTTATCTCTGGGAGGAGAAATAATAGATATTATCTTCTTTCTGAACTTATTTTTCCCAATAGGGTAGTACTGTAATCTGGAAAAGGACATGTTTGTTAAAGGCACAAATACCAACACAGTATAACTGATAGAAGACAGCTGACAATGTCAGATCGGCTCTGGGTGTAGTGAAAAAGCAGAGGCCCTGACCTGAGACATCACTGTGCCTGACCACATCCCAGCCCCATAAGAATCATGTCTTGGGTTCAAAAACCCCAGGTTCATCTCAGTCCAGGGTGGAGAGGGTAAAAGGCTGGACCACAGCCAGATCAAAGGGAAGCCCTTTTGGCCCTGAAATCCTTCTGAAACACTTCAGACCCAAGTTATCTTCTAACCAAGGGATACAGAAAGAACCAAAGGGTTTCTGGGACCACCTCTCTGAATTTAGTTCACATGAACGGGGGAGAAGACAAAAGGATACTCCCCCTTAAAAGGCCAGATGTGAAAATCATTTTTAGTGGTATCTTCACAGCCCAAGTTTTTCTTCTCTGAAATGTATCACAAAAGTATTCCCTTCAGCCCTGGCCAGTTTGGCTCAGCAATTAGAGCACTGGCCTGCGGTCCAGAGATCCGGGTTCGGTTCCCGCTAAGGGCACGTTCCTTGGTTGCAGCTTGTCCCCGGTCCTGGTAGGGGTCGTATGGGTGGCAGCCAGTCGATGTGTCTCTCTCACATCAATGTTCTCTCTCTCTCTCTTCCCCCCTCTCTCCCTTTTGCTGTATCTAAAGATAAATGAAAAAAAAAAAGTATTCCCTTCAGGTTCCGTGTAAAAATATGAATATCTACTTTTGAACAGAGAACTCTGCATGCAATTTTCAGGGAAGTAATTTCCTTATTTGTTGATATTCTATTAGCCAATTGAAGGATAAAAGTGTATTTATTATCATGGCAGAATAATACAGCAATAATCAATGATTGTGAACAAATCTTTAAGCACAAAACAATTATTAAGATGTCTCATTATAAAATAAATAAGGAAATTGATGGATGGTTAATACAAATATTAGAAGGCATATGTTAGCTAGATGGCCCTAAGAAAAATATCATATTCTTTTTGAGCTAGAAAATGTTCTCAATTTTTTTCTTTTTATTGAAGTCATTGGGGTGACACCGGTTAACAAAATTATACAGTTCCAGGTGCACAATCACACAACACTTCATCTGTACACTGTATTGTGTGTTCACCACCCCCAAATGTTTTAAATTTTAATTAAAAATAAAGACAGAGTAATAAAGACTAAATTGTATCATAATTCTATTTTCATAGGGTTACTTGGTGTTCTAGTGATTGTGATTTGTGTTTAATTTTTAATCATTTAATTTTGTGCATGAGTTATTTGAGGCCCATGTCTTCATCTATGGGTCCTCCTCCAACCCCACTGGAAACTGACCATGGGCCATTATCACAAATGACAGCATAGCAATCACCAAGGCTCTCGAGAAGCTGCCAGGACTGAGGAATTACTGTTTCAGCATCATAATGCAAAACTTTTAAAGTTTAAGTACCAAAATTTTCAATAATAATATTGTGGTAGCAATTCCAAGTTATTTCTGCATCCCAGGATATAGTCTATGGTCATGATTTCTGTCTTTGGTCCTGTCTTTGGTTGAAGGGTAACTTTTTTTTATCATCTGGCCATTTTGCGTTGGGCCAACATGTGTATTTGCTAAACCTGTAGTTTCATTTCAATTACCTTACCTTCTACCATCACAATCCTAACCCTCTGAAGTTCTCAGTGTCTGAATTCTCCCTTTTATAAAGCTCTTAGGTTAAGTCAGATCACAGGGGCTCATTAGTTGGCTGCAAATCAAACACAAAAATACACTGGAGGGAAATTTCCCCTAAGGAATAACGATAGTGCTATCATACTACTTAATGGCTTCCTCGGGACTTTCATAAACATTGTCTCCGATTTCTGATTCCTAGATCTCTGAATCAATCATCTAACTGTAGAACAAGAAACAGGAATTCACTTTGGGTGAACTGTTAAAATACATTTAAATGAGGATTTAAAAAGTCACCCTCATCTCCCCAATTTCCCATGTCCTCTCCTTATTTGAGTTCCTCCCATCAAGCCTCACCCTCATTTGAGATAGCTTTGTTTACAAAAGTAATGAAATAATGATCTTACCTCCATGTTGGGGAAAACATTCAGGACAGAAGAGAGGATGCAAGTTTCAGCTGAGCGCCGGGAAAATTCTCAACAGCTGAAGAGCCCAGCCTCTGCCCCTCCTGGCTCTCCTCCCGGGGCCTTGCTTGGTTCTGTTATATAGAAGGACACTCAGCTCCTACCCCAACCAGATCCTGTGGGGGACGAGGAGTCTGCCCTGTGCTTAGCCTGTGTCTTCAAACAGATGCGTCTTCTCATCGGGCCACGCCTTGGCCTCAGCCAGCTGGGACTGTCTGGAAGTTCAGCGTCGAGAAAACATCTGTAAATCAAGAAAGGCAGAAAATGCTCTCAGTTCGACGTTTAAGTGATTTTCAACCAAAGGAAGACAAGGAGTGGAAGAAAGGAGTAAACCTTCATTCTGTTTCATTCTACTAAACCCGCGGTTTTCAACCTTGTTCATTTCATGGGACACATAAACTAATGGCTAAAATTCTGCAGCACACCAAAAAAAATGTAGATTTGGCTGATCTGACCAAAAAAATCGGTATAATTTTGATTCATTCACCCCAGACAGCTATTGTGTTGACTGTGGTCATTTTTTTTATTTGACAATCTAAGGGAAAACAAGTCCGTGCCCCTGACTAAAAAGGTATAGCATGTTTTAAAAATTCTTGCAGCACACCAGTTGAAAATCACTGAGCTAAACTACATAACTATTTTCATGATTTTTTTTAAAAGGAGTTATACACCAGATTAATTTTTTTTCCTTTATTGATTTTAGAGAGAGAGGAAGGGAGAGGGAGAGAGAGATGAAACATCAATGAGAGAGAACATCAATTGGCCACCTCCTGCATGCCCCCCACTGGGGATCGGGCCCATAACCTGGGCATGTGTCCTGACCTGGAATCGAACCGGGGACCTCTTGGTTCATGGGTTGACGCTCAACCACTGAGCCACACCAGCCAGACTATACACCAGATTTAGAGATTAAACACTTTATGGAAGAAAAGATCTAAATGTAGTTCTGTCACTCAAAATGTAAATGGAACATTCTGGAGTGGAAGCCCCTCCCCCCCAAAAAAAATATATATAACCTAAAACAATATGAAACCCTGCCCTTCATGCTAGACTTTCATGGAATGATCAAAAAAACATTTTTTTTTTGCAAACACAATTAACGACAGCACTAATTTTCTCAAGAACTTTCTTTAATCCTTTGATATCCAGATCATTCTGTTGGAAAATTCTTATCATGGTCATCATCCACGTCCATTTTCTCTTCTCTAGTGGCTGCCTTGTCTTATTCTGCCAGACCCTCGCTTTCCACAGCTCTGCGTGGATTCTAGCAGTTCTCCAACATCATTTTCATAGATTTTCTAAAACACTGTGGTTTGGGTAAGATTTTCAGGTTTGCTCTGAAGTCGAGCTACTGTCCTCTCTGCGTGGTTTGGCTAAATATTCTGACTGTTGCTGTCAGAGCTTCTTGAGTAGGAGAGACATCAGTGTTCAGCGGAGAAAACATCCAGTGTAGAACTGGAAATGTAGACATCTTTGGGAAGAAACATCCTGGGACGGGTCAAAGGTAAAGCCACAGACCTGAGAAAACATGACTGAAGTCATAGAGCCTGATCACCGTGGAGTATAAAACCCCAAGAAACGGCCCTATTCCTGAAGGGAGCAAGAAGACGGAGAAGAGCCACAAAGGCGAGGAGGAGAGGTTGCAGAGGAGAAGGAAAATGAACGCATTGCATGAGGAGCCATGGAGGAGGCTCCCAAGGCAAGGTCAGGCCACAACATGGAGGTCAGAGGTGGAGGGCTGATGAAGAGCACACCCGCTGGTAATCAAAACATTGCGGCTGAACTAAGGGCAGGGTTTCCCAACATATCCTCTGCTCTGGTGCTGCAAGGCCTTGCAAAATAATTAATTTTGAGGCCAAGTAAGTGGGGTTGTATATATTATAGAGCAGAGTTTCTTAGCAGCTGGATAACTGACCTTTTGGGCCTGACCATCCTTTGCTGGGAGGGAGTAGAGAGGGAACTGTCCTCTGCAGTGGAGGACATACAGCAGATCCCTGGTCTCTACCCACTAGGTGACAACACCCTCCACAGTCAGTACAATCAGAAATGTGTCCAGACATTGCCGAATGTCCCCTGGGGGCAAAAGCACACAGGCTGTCTCCACTGAGAAGCACTGGAAGCACGCCTACTCCTAGCAAATGCCCGGCCCAGGTTCACAAAGCACAGTGCACAACACATTACAAATTAAATGTTCGGAAAGCTCTACACCGACGAATACTTCTCTTTAACTATTTTCAAATCAGGGTTTCTCAAATTCATGTGATCACAGAACTTGCATTTTTAACATCCCCCCAAACTGGCATGCGACATGCTTTAGCGAAGGGTAGCTGAGCCCAAACTGGATGGGTAGAGAGGAAACGCAGACTTCTGCCAGGCTGGGGAAGGTCCACGAGAGCCCCGCCCTTCCCCCGTCTCCTGCTATGACACACCCTCTTTATATTTTTTTAATTGATTTTTTAGAGATAGATCGGAAGGGAGAAAGAGAGAGAAACATCAGGCCTGCAACCAGGGCATGTGCCCTGACTGGGGATCGTACTGGCAACCTTTTGGTGCACAGGACGACACCCAACCAACTGAGTCACACTGGCCAGGGCCCCTTTTCTGCATCAGTCCTCACTTTCCTTACTAGCACCTCAAAAGCTGTTAACATCCCCAGACCCTAATAAAACTATTAGGCCACTAATCATATTAAGAAGCTGTTCTGGTCCACCTAGGGGAGATATTTGAAAACATTTTAACAAGCCTATTTCATTTCCTAGCCGTTTGGTTTTGCTCTGAATTGTTCTCACAGATTCCACTGCCTCTGGAGGCGTAGGAGAAATGAACTCACTGGGGAAGGCCAGAGCCTCATTTTCTCTCTCCTATTAGGCTGTTTCTGTCCACGCTGGAACTGCCAGGGGTTTGAGCAAATAAACGACAGCACCCCCTAGTGGCAGGCGTGCTCTGGTCCCTCCAGGAACAGAAACAGCATTGGGCTCTGGAGTGAAACCACTTGGAAGCCCTGAGAAACACTGAATCTTCTTAGGCTCCCAGTCAAGTGTTTGTTAAGCTAATAAATACTGCAGGTGGTATCTCTTTTCCATTAAAGTGTCATTGTGTGGACAATGAAAAATAGCTATTAAAAATGCCTTATCCGCCCTGGCCAGTTTGGCTCAGCGGTTAGAGCGTCGGCCTGCGGTCCGGAGAGACCAGGGTTCGGTTCCTGCTAAGGGCACATACTTCGGTTGCAGTTTGTCCCCGGCCCTGGTTGGTCATGCGGGTGGCAGCCACTCGATGTGTCCCTTCACATCGATGTTTCTCTCTCTCTCTCTCCCTTCCTCTCTCTCCCTCCCACTCTATCTGTACAAAAAATGGAAAAATACCCTCAGGTGAGGATAAAAAAAATAATAAATAAAAATGCCTTATCCAAAGAAAGTTTTCAGCAAAATAATGAATATTAAATGTTTTATCATTACACCTAATAAGGTTTTGCCCATCTCTGCTGGTAGCACTACATTAAATACTGTAATTTCTCCCGGCTGATGTGGCTCAGTGGTTGAGCATCAACCCACGCACCAAGAGGTTTCCGGTTCAATTCCTGGTCAGGGCACATGCCCAGGTTATGGGACCGATCCCCAGTGGGGGGCATGCAGGAGGCGGCCAATCAATGCTCTCTCTCATCGATGTTTCATCTCTCACTCCCTCTCCCTTCCTCTCTCTCTAAAAAAAATCAATAAAGAAAAAATAAATACTGTAATTTGTGCACTAGTTTAAAGTGTTGGCATCCAGTTCTTCATATGAACGCTGTGTAAGGTTTAAAGTAAGACGTATTTACAGGGTTCCGCACTTCCCTTTTAGACAGATGGCATTGCCCCTCACACTGCATAGGCCTTTGCTCGTGGTGCTGACCACTGCAGAAGGCAAGGATCCAATTTCCCTCAGGAGGCGATAAGGCATTTTGTTATTTTGTTGTTATGTTTTCAATCGGGGCCGGCGCTTGAAAAATTTAGGAGAAGACAGGATTTCTTGGGTTGCTCACTGTCATTGGGCTTTTCCGTTATCTGCATTGCACATAGTACCAGCAGCCTGCAAGTCCAAGATACACTTCATTTGGTTTACACTTGAATTAAGTCAAACAGCTCTGAGAAGGAAGAGACGAAATGCAAAGTTGCCATGGTTTCCTGCTGCATTACGTAAAGACCTACAGAAGAAGGGTGAATATCAAAACACAAGGTCATTTACTTATTCTACACTTTATTTATTTATTTTATCCTCACCTGAGGACATTTTTGCGCTTATCTTCAGATAGAGCGGGAGGTAGAGAGGGAGGAAGAGAGAGAGAGAAACATCAATGAGAGAGAGACACATCGAGTGGTTGCCACCCACACAACCCCAACTGGGGCGGGGACAAACCGCAACCGAGGTACGTGCCCTTAGCAGAAACCGAACCCGGGACTCTCTGGTCTGCAGGCCGATGCTCTAACTGCTGAGCCAAACCGGCCAGGGCTTAGTCTACACTTTAAATTTGTGGTGCTTACAAAGAAAGTTGGGTCTGTCTGTCTGTTTTTTCAGATCAAGACTTCAGCATATCATAGCCCTAAAATAAGAATTTATCACTCTCTGATAATGTCGGTCTGTTCTGTAATTTGGGGCTTTTCCTCCTTGAGCTCCCTCTAACAGATGCCATTTGGTATCAGATTCATTGTTACATACTCCACAGGCCACAAAAGAATAAAAATGAGCAGTAGAAAGAAGTAAAATCCTGAATTGTCTTCAAATACTAGTTAAAAACTCTTGGAAACAAGTGAAGAAGTCACAAACACATAACCAGAAACTTCTTAAAAGAAATAAATTTTCAGCCGGCCAGTGCGGCTTAGTGGTTGAGCATTGACCCATGCACCAAGAGTTTGATTCCCGGTCAGGACACATGTCCAGGTTGTGGGCTCGATCCCCAGTGGGGGACGTGCAGGAGGCGGCCAATCGATGTTCTCTTTCACCAATGTTTCTCGTTCTCTTTCCCCCCTATCTCTTCCTCCCGCTCTATCTGAAGATAAATGTAAAATTATCCTAGGTTGAGAATAAAACAAACAAACAAACAAAAAACACATATAATGTGCCTGGCCTGTGTGGCTTAGTGGATTGGCCCATGGACTGAGAGGTCTTGGATCCT